TCCATTGTATTCACTAGCAGAAGTGTTAAGCGCACGCTCGATAAAAACAAAGTATTATCGTAGCGGCGTGCCAAGTTACGTGAAGTACGCACTTGTCTGTAATTCGCTACGGTCTACGTGAGATTTAAACTCTAATCTCCGCAATACAGAATATAACAGTACAGAAGATAAAGAGATAAAATATAGTAGAACACAAAACATTTTACATCTTAGTAGTCTCTACTTAGCTCGCATGTTCATTCTATGAAATCTATGACATTATACAAGAACTAGCGACTCACCCTCGCTTCGCTCGGGGTCGTCCCTGCATTGCTTTCCCATAAAAAACTTCATCCCCATTTTCACCCCCTTAAGGGATGATTTCCGAGATAAAAACTATCCTATGTTCCAAGGGTCTCAAACTATATTCTTACCAAATTTCATCTAAATCGGTTCAGTAATTTCGGAGCCTAAACAGAAAATCAAATCTTTCCTCTTTATAACATTAGTATAGATATCATTTTATTTATACGTGCGCATACACTACAATCTCAATGTTATCTACGTGCCCACTTGAATTATTTTAAATTAGATTATTACGCTAAATCGAAAAGTTTTATTATAATGTCCCAACATATTTATTTATATTTATTTAACCGGTTTAGCCTGTCTCGAAAAATGTACAATGAGAGATGGAAAAAAAAAGTATTAAAACTAATAATAATAATAATATTACTTACAAACTTTTAACAAAAAAAAAGTTATATACATATATTTCAAATTTGATAGCCTATTCTTTTAATAACAAATATAACTTCTTAAGGTTTTTTTTAATTTAATCTTTAATAGGCTAAAAAGTGTAAAAAATGACTAATTGTGTGAGAAGATAGTGCTTTATTAAAAAGAACAACCTGGCGAAGGAGAACGAGGCTGTTTATAATGAATTAGGAGTATTATAACAACACTTCTTTTATAATACATGTAACGCCATCTAGCGGAATTCACAAGAACAGTGCAGTACAAGTGTGTTAGTAATTTCAAAAGCTGACACCATGGTGTGAATTGCGCTAGTGATTTTTAATGTCTTACTGTAGCAGGAAGACGAACACAAAAACCAATATAAATACATATTGTAAATATTAATTATTCTATTCTTATAACTATAATTTAGTAATTATATTATATCAAATGATAGTATTATTAATTGTTAACAGCCTATGTACTATTGTCTTGTTGGAAAAAAATCTGCATAAATCATATTGGACGATATGAAATAGATGTCAATGTATGCCGTAACGTAAATGTACATATTTTCCGGTTCTTTTAAATATTATTATTTATTATAGATAATTTTATGACTGATATGTCCAATATATACATTGAATATATTCTGAGAATTCCAATAGAGAAGCATTGTTCATTGAGTTCATTTTAACCGTCCAAAAAGGAATTTTCTGCTATATTATTAAGTTATTAATATTAATATTAGAAATATTATTGCTTTTTACGTTAAACAGTATATTCATGTTATTAATTATTGTGTGTATTATGTTAGGTACTGACTGGTTTTAACGATAAAGACTTTTATCTCCGATCAGCAAAAGAATCACCTACAATCTAAATATTTTTTGGAATATCTTATTTAAATAAACATTATTATCGATATAGAGGCCGAATCTATAGTTTTTAGAAATTTTGTCTGTCTGTCTATCTGTTACCGCATCACATAAAAACCACTGGAGGGATTTTGATGAAAGGTATGATTATAGCTGGTTATCCTTTTTTTTTTCTTTGTTTTCGCTGGGGAAACCCATCATGGGGACCCTGCCGCCGTCATGGGCAGGGTACTGTGAGACTCCTACTCACTAAAACCCACAGCGGAACCCTTCGCCGCAGTGCAATGGGGCGTGCAGGATCGCTTTCGCACTCACTGCAATAGCTGGTTATCCAGGTCAACATATAGGATACTTTTTACCGCGGAAAAACATCTCATTTCTGAGAAGAAATACAAAAACTGCATTGTAAGAGTATACTAATATGTAAAACTTAAGAATTTGGATTTTGGTAATTTGAACGCGGGCGGAGCCGCGGGCAATGCTAGTGCTATATATAATGATGAATGTTATATGTCTGTAAAATGTATTAATGATTTTAAATCTCTATTTCGCTCACAGTATCGCGAGAAGTTAGATGTTTTAAAATGAATTGCAAAACCTATATATATAATATTTTTATTTTTAGCAAATATTGGCAAAGATTCAGCGCTACGAAGGAGTAAGAATGCTAGAGCTGAATAGATAGATATTTGTATTAAATGTACAAATATAACGAATAGCGTATGATGACCTGTCTCTTTTTTTTTGAAGTCTCTTTTTACTTTTTGTAATCCTTTTTATACTAATGTAATAAAACTTAAATGTTTATTTTGCTTTGCAAATAATATAATTTTCATTGTTGTATCATAGCGAATGGAAAATCTTAAATCAAACTATAGATTATGTCAAAAAAATTCAAACTGAATACCGATAACAGAAATTTCTGTTTAATGCAACTGGATGTTAACAGATTAAATTTGTAGCTGCTCTTAATCCCGATCAAATCATCGAAATCGGATCGGTAATATCGAAGTTCCGCAGCCGAACCGCTATCCATCAAATGAACAAATAAAAATGTATGAAAAATTTTCAATTTTGTATATTTTCTCGATGCAACTTTATAAGATCACATTTCAAGCTTTACATGTTTCCCGCATATATTTCACTTAAATTTACTTACAACATTGAATTACAAAAAATGAAATATCTTAATATAGGTATAAATTCAAAGTATCTGTCTTGTTTTTGTTTGTAGATAATATTGTGTAATCCTACTCTATATAAATATACGTTTTTGAACTGCTAAGTTATAAACGGAAAACTTTTCTGATATGGCTTTGTTAGTTTGTAAAATAAAAGTAATAAAAGTATAGTTTTTATATTAAAATAAACATAAGAATCGTATACACGAGTTAGGGCAGTCGTCAGGAAACTTTCAGCGGCCTCTGGACTGATGCCAAAGATTCTAATGGTTATTTTCGCGTCATCCATACAAATACCATGACAGCATCCCTACCTATAGTGAATCTTTGTACTTGCAAAAATCACTACACATTTTTTGATATAATAAATGAAAATATAGAGGCGCCTGTAGAGATTTCTATTACGTGTAACTAAACTCACTTTAATGGTATGCGCAATTGAATAAATTTCATTGCGTATGTATGCATACATAACAAAGTTATAGTCTTCTGGAAAGAAAACGTAGAAAAATGTATTCATTGAATTCGTTATCCACTTAAAATTGTACCTACTAGATGTTTATATTCATCCAGTATCTTGACTACTATTTTAAAATTTTAATAAATATTTCATATTTTTATTTTGTCTCAAAAGATTCTATTTTAATCCCTTGGATGATTTCAATTGTAACAGTATAATTGCCACGACCATGCTTTTATTGCTCCTATGGATATATGAGACCATTCATCCGTTCAATTAAAAAAATAATGCTAAACCGAATTGCATGTAAGTAACTCTATTAAAATCATCGACTAGCATTCATTATCCCCCTGTCTAGTTTTACATTCTTTTGTTAGCCATAGTCGTTGCATGGATGCATGAATAAATTGTTTTTCAACGTGATTTTGAGAATTGAACATTCTGAACGAACTGGTAGGTCAAGATCCCTTTCTCATAGAAAACGCCTTTGTGCGATAGTAAAAGGCGTGCACTATTAAAGGGCGCGGATCAAGTCGGTTGTGGGTTTATAGCGCTGTGTGCGCTATTGAATATTTTAGGTGAGATCTCGTTGACGATTTAAAACTCTGCACAGATGTTAGACACGATAATATAAAATGAATTATTCTCATTTTCTCTGATCTCTTTCGATAAATATATTGAATAGATAACTGAATTATTTAATCTTAACTGATATTTTTGCTTTTCTAAGAGCTCTCATATCATCTGAGTTACAATACATATATGATACAGTCAGAAATTCCTTTATAACCTCATCATCAAGTACATTACTTGAGTAACCCTCGCGACCAGGCGACCAGGCGCCGCGGGAATTAACCGGCCCTTGTAAAAGTAGTAGCCACACCATCATGTAAGCACTAGTAGGTATGTGTGCTTTGAACTACAATGCACTGTCATTGCCCTGCTCCCGCCATCGCCCCCCTCTGTCTTGAAACAATGAACGGAACCTGGCGTCATAGTCGCGGCTTCGCCCTTATGATTTAATGACACCCTAAATGCCCTCCTTGTTTTTGTGAGGTGTCCTTAAAGTTATGTGATTTGAAATTTTTTTGCCGAACCTCTGTCGACCCTAAATAATTATAATTTTGATGAATTTAAGTTAAGAAACTTTTGTAGAGAGGTTCCAAGTAAAAACTTTTATATAGATTTTAAATTCTAGATTTAATTATTATTATAGAATACATACACAGTAGGTACTAATATTATATTCTTAAAATATGTAGATGTTTAATATAGTAAGTAATTTTTACATTGCTTAATGTATTATATATTTATTTACGAATAGAAAATTTCAAAAATAAGTAAATAAAACTCATTATACTATGTTATATATTTTGTAATCAACACACAGTGATTAGTGATTGAATGTAACAGTTTAAAGCTTGAAAAAAAAAATTATATACGAGTATGTGGCTGTTGATACAATTAAAAATATTAAAACATGTGTAATCATATAGGTATCACAAACATATAAAGGTATTATTTTTTACTTTTTAAGTAACAAACAATTATGTACAGAGCATAATTTAAAATAAAGACTAATAAGTGCTACATGATTCACATTTATGTGAAGGCAACGAGTCAAGAACAAGGCACGGCACGGACGTCCGTGAAACGTAGGGCCGGCAAGCGGGCAGGGCCGGGCACGGGCACGATGCCATTCATCCACGACCGATCCGCATAATGAGATGCAGTGTTCCTCCAGATGCGGCGCAGGCGCGCCTATTTTTTGTGCTCCCCTTTTTTTGCTACGACTCTCACCACTGACAATGTCACGTCCCAAAGTATTCCTTAAAACAAAAGATCATTCATAGTTTGTAATAATAAAAATGGTTAGTTTGCATTTGCATTTGCTTTTTAAATATACTGAATTTCTAAAAAAAATTACTTAATTATTACACTTCTTTAAAAAAAAAGTGTGAAATAATGTCAATAGTTATTTTTATGACGTTTTAAATACAATGGATTATTGAATATAAATAAATGAAATCAGGATAATATATTTTGAGCAATATATTGAATTCATTAGTTGTTGTAAAGCATGCATGTATAATAATGAATAAATAGTAAATGTCATAATAATCAAGTTATTCGAATATAATATTATATAACGTAAGCAGAATTTCATTGTAAGTTATGATATTTTTTCCGCAGCTAAATATAAAATAAAGTCTTCTTGCAAGGAACTCGGTCCAACGCTAGGCTCACGTTTATTTATGTTGCTTTAGTCAGAACTGTTACCTAAACCGCGCCAGATGTTATTTTACGACAACTCGCCACCTAATAAATAATTTTCGCTTTTACCTATAAATGCTTAATATTTCTTTTTTATTCATATTTGCTTAGAATAAAAATATTGCGCATTAATAATATTTTTAGTCTTAGTATATAGAAATTTGTTTCTTAAGAATTAAATAGCAATACGTATTTGTTACAAAGATTTTAATTTTTAAACATAACTGAATAAATATTCTTAATGTTAGGTATGTATTTAAAACTACGCCTTACTAATTCCGTAGTTGATGATTAAGTTACAGTTTAAAGCCACGCCCCACACAATTTTTAAGAAAATATAACACTTTTAGATCAAAAGCACACAAATCCTCTTTCTTGGTCACAAAAGATAATTTTCCGCCCGTTTTTCTTTACATATCTATATCACGCAGGCATAACCGCGCAGCTCCATACTTCTTTACATTCCATATGACTTCAAATACTATGGGAAGTAAGGAAGCACGGAACTCGCGCAAGGCTATGTGTCTTCTCTCTTCTTTATAATAATCACTATCTTGACGGCACTGTTAATAGAGAGAGAGATTTGATAATTATAACGGAGGCACCGCCCCATCTCTAGGGAAATGATAAAGTAAGACCACTACACGGCAGCCACCTTTGCGAAGACGGTGTGGTAGCGGGCGACACGGCCTCATGGCAGCTCGTCGGGCACTGGCAGCGGGCTCAGTGCGCACGCGCAGTCCAGGTCTAAAAATGGAGTCAACCGGCGGAGTTCGCTTTCGAGTCGCGAGTACCATCCATTCCAAATTTGTATTTTCCCGAAATAGAACCGGCAGCGGGCGTCCATCGGATCGGTTACTCAAACGTGCAGCGACCTGCAGCTTGAGGCAACACGAAATGCACAACCGGCCGCAGAGTCCCGATCGCTGACTCGCCGAAGGCTCTTATGTAAGGAACACTGTAAACCGCGCCGCGTGACGACCGTAACGAAAATAAACGTGCACGCAGAATACGACGCCGACGGGCGCCACATGTGCGCGCTCCCGTCAGCGTTCCGATGCTCGCGCGCTGGAGGGGAGGCTATTATTAGTTGAACACCATCCACCACTGTCACCTCCCGCGGGGTAGTCGTGCTATACATAGTGGCCAACACGAGATCTGGCAATCCTCAGCGTTCACTGACCTCCCTGAAATGTTTACACAAAACCAATGTCTCAGCATTACATTCATACATACATATATATTTATTGTTAAAGAAATAAAGAAATTCATGTTAGTTTCGTTTACTATAAAAACCATAAAAGGTATATAGATTAGGTATAGATATAAAGTATCCGTATATACTCTGTTTGAACTATCAAACTAGCAGTGCAGGCGTATTGTGGCCGAGAATTTCCGTTGTTGGCTGTAAAGCTCTACATTCACTCAGTCAATAAAAGAATTTTGGCAAACTTTCGTAGACAAACAAGTGGGACGACAGCCAACTCATCTTTTGTCTACTTGAAAGCAACATAGTTTTGTAAGCATTTTGATAATATCATCACAGTATTTCACAAGTACACAGAAAACATTTACTTAGTTGTGAAATTATTCAAATGAAAATGATTGACTAGACATTTACAAAATATTTAATATTCTATTCGTTTTACCTATATATTATTATAATATTAAGCCGTACCATAGTATATTATTGTATTATATGTAATAATCATACATACCTATATTAACTAAACCGAATCTGTACATTAGATATTTTTGAAAAATCTTATTGAAATAAACATTATTATCGATACAGGGGCCGAATCTATAATTTTTAGAATTTTTGTCTCTCTGTCTGTCTGTTACCGCATCACTGAAAAGCCACTCGAGGGATTTTGATGAAATTTGGTATGGTGATAGATGGTTATACGGGTCAACATATAGAATACTTTTTACCGCGGGAAAATATCTCATTTCTGAGAAAAAATATAAAAACTGCAATGTAAGAGTATACTAATATGTAAAACCTAAGAATTTGGTTTTCGGTCATCTGAACGCGGACAAAGCCGCGGGCAATGCTAGTAATAAAATATTTTTTAAATTTATTACGTGTATGTGATCTCGTAAGATGCGCTATTGAGTGAAAAACTGCGATGCTGCCGTGAAGCATAAACGGCCAAACAGCGCCTGTTGAATATTAATGTGACATTGTTATTGGCCACAGTTGCCCGTCGCTGCCCCAAACGCACATTTCCATAACTTACTATTCTGGATCCGCGGGGAATCAGATCACTGTAGTAGAATATGATCACTCAACTTAACTAATATGCTCTATAAATTCTGTCGCGACTGCACGTCAATAATTCATTACATGGAATCAGTAAGAAGGCAGAGCAAGGCGTGCGCTCTCGACCAGTATTCTGGAACACTCAGTTGATCAATGCGTAGCCCGCGCAATCATTCACTGCTCGATTGTTTCGTATGTACACAGAGAGCACTTAATGCGGCGCTTGATGCGCTTGTCAGACGCGACCTATGCCATCGATTATAATAAACGATTTATCTTAAGTTTTTTTTTTTATTCTAACAGTGTAATAAAAATTACCTTTTATTAAGTAATATAAAAATATACTACGATTTTATGAATTATACATATTTGAAGAATCTTATAATATATCGATCATTGGGATAGAGAGCAGTGTCAGTGATCGTAGCCTCAATTCCCGTTGAAAGCAAATATTTATATTGGCTCCATAGATATTTGTGACCATGTAAATATATGAGCAATGTTTCTTGTATAAGTTTTTTCTTTAGCTTCTTAGTAAATTACCTTAGCTTTTTGCAGTGGTTATTACTTATTATTCATTAAATTCTATTTTATTACAAATTATATTATTTTATTAGAATCGTAAGTATTAATCCAAAAAGAATATAAATTACTAATGTAATACTAAATGTTATGACATACAAATTGTAATAGTGTTTATTTAGACAAGAAGCTTGAGAGCCCCATACATAATAGTTGTCGACTAAATAGAAATGCGACCGACGCGACGCTGAAAGCATTAATTAGTCTTCATCTCGTTTTCATTCATCTAGAAATTATTCAAATAGTAGAAAAATCTTTATATAGATATATTACTAAATTAGAATGCTAATAATTAATAATAATTATTATTAATTATTAGCATTCTTGCCACTATTCCACGCGGACATGACTTGAACAGTAATAACTAAGTGTACATTTGTTTTGTATATATAATTAACTATTAAGTATATTTGTAATTTTCTTTATTGTAAATAAATTATATTTTTAAAATTAGTCTATTTTATATACTCAATCGTCATTATATAAAACTTTAATCGTATTTTGAATTTCCCTTTATAGCATTGTCGTCAAGTTTTTCAGATGTTGAAAATTTTAGGTAAAATCACTCGGTAACAGATAGAGAAAGACGTCTTCTTAGACACGGAGTTGTTCTGAAAAAAAATTAAATTTACAATAAATTGTTATTTCGTACATAACTATGTATATACAATTACAATATAAATAATTTAATTTTATGAGCAACTGAACTTTAAGAAATATTCAATTCTTAATGAGATTAAATAATTCATTATTTATATAATACATATAAAATAAATTGGGACCACAAAGAAAATTTTCTTAAAGTATAAGGGGTTCAAACCCAAGGCTTTGTCCATTTGAGATTTTCTAATTCCCGCGGGAAAACACGTTATAATACAAAACAAAAAAATATTTAAGATCAGAATTACTTGAAACTTGGTATTAATGCTCTTCAATATAATTAAATAAATACGTCTTTCAGCTTTTTTCGAAATTCATCCCATAGGGGGGTAAAATAGGAGATGAAAGTTTGTATGAAACCTACGTTTTTATAGTTTTTTTTTGTTGTTTTATCGCGAGCGAAGCCGCGGATTCTGCTAGTAAATAAAACAAAGTCGGGTTTGTTACAACACTTATAACTCGAGAACTGCTGGACTGATTTTCATGGTTTTTGAATTGTTGGATTTGTCTCCGCCTCGAATAGCAGAACAACTATTAAAACATCGGAAAAAAATTAAGGGAAAAAAATCTATTCAATACTAAGCATCAAAACGTACCTAGGGACGAACCTAACCGATGCGAGGGTGAGTTGCTAGTTATAAATGTAAACACCCATGACTAGAGTACAAACTATCGTGCTCATCACGCAAAGGCGTGCCCCTAGCGGGACTCGAACCCGCGACCGCTGGCACAGCAAGTACACACGTACACTACAAACTGAGCCAAACGTGTCGTCAGATTTTCAACATGGTTATCACTTGTGTTAACAGTGAAGAAGTAAATATCGTGAGAATTCTTACACGTTTAGGAAAATCTATCTAGGTTTAATAAGATGCAAGAAGTTCCATATTTGACCAAACTGGTGACCCATTGGCTGATCCCCCTCGCATTTAGTGGCGTCACGCACCTAGTTTTATTAATTGTTACCTTGGTACTCGTATGCTCACGATGTATGCATAGTATCTAGTATTAACTAGTTTATACTGTCTGTCTATGAATTAAAACATATATAACATACTAGCATTTGCCGCGGCTCCGCCCGCGTTCAGATGACCAAAAACCAAATTCTTAGGATTTACATATTAGTATACTCTTACAGTGCAGTTTTTTTTTATTTTTTCTCAGAAATGTGACATTTTCTTGCAGTAAAAAGTCCTATATGTTGATCCGGATAAGCAGCTATCACCATACCAAATTTCATCTAAATCCCTCCAGTCGTTTTTCTGTGATGCGGTGACAGAAAGACAAAAATTCTAAAAACTACAGTCGGCCTCTGCATCGATAATAATGTTTATTTCAATATGATTTTCCAAAAAATATTTAATGTACAGATTCGGCTTAGTTACAATTTTATTCTATGTATAGATGTACATGTAGTTCATAATGTTAATCGATCGATACTGAAAACTAAGCAAGTATAATGCGTTTAATTTGTGTGTTTGTTTGCCAATTTGTACACATTACTCGACAATAGGACTAAACAGATTATAACAAGGCTTTTACTGGCTGATAAAGTATTCAAGTGAGGGTGATATTGCATATCTTTATTTTTATCTACTTGACTCGCGAGCGGAGCCGCAGGCACAGGTTAGTTCCAAATAAGTAATCCTCAATATAAACACTCATCATTATATATTTAACTACTAGCATTGACCGCGGCTCCGCTCGCTTTCAGATGACCAAAAACCAGATCCTTAGGTTTTACATATTAGTATACTCTTACATTGCAGTATTTGTATTTTTTCTCAGAAATGAGATAATTTTTCTGTGATGCGGTAACAGACAGACAGACAGACAGACAGACAAAAATTCTAAAAACTATAGATTCGGCCTCTGTATTGATAATAATGTTTATTTCAATAAGATTTTAAAAAAAATATCTAATGTACTGTGTACAGATTCGGCTTAGTTACAATTTTATTATATGTATAGATTTGATATTCATATCTGAAAATAGTAAGCCGACAATACTTTAAGAATGAATATCTAATAGGTAAATATGATTAGATATGAACTCTAATATGTAGTGAAAATATTATACATCCATTTGTGATGTATTTTATGTTTTTTTTATATATTAGAAAATATCGAATCGAAGATATATAAATATAAAAAGAAAATATCGTCTGGAAGACGGTTTTTTAAAGCTTTTGTATAATTCACATTCGGTTGAAATTTAGTAAACAGATAGATTATGACCAGGACTAACACATATGCTACATACTGAGAAGTTAAGTCGCTAGTTAAATCCTATTAATATTATAAACGCGAAAGTTTGTAAGAATATACGAGTATGTACGTATGTATGGATGTATGGATGTATGTTTGTTACTCTTTCACGCAAAGACTACGGAATAGATTTTGATGAAACTTTACAATAATAAAGCTCATACATCACAATATCACAAAGACTACTTTTGATCCCGGAAAAATGTACGATTTCCGTGGGATAGATTTGTTTTTGTTTTTCGCTAGTATTATCATAAAAACAAAAAGTAGAAGTAGAGAGTATTTACTACGAGTAAGTACATCTGTAAATCCATAGTACAATAATTGTACGTGTTACTGTAACACTGTTACAGCTAAATTAAATTTAAAATCTAATCTCAATTACCTACTAACATTACCTAGATACCAACAATTACCTACCAATCTACCAATTTTGGAAAACATTGAATTAACAATTGCTTGTCAGTATTACATTTATTTTCCCTTTTTATTCATTTTTTTTTAAAGTAGATATGTACATACTTTCAATTCGCATGTACCTATCATCTAAATGCAAATTTAAAAGAATGTAAATGTTTATTTCTTTTATGTTGTGGTATTAAGTTAAAAGTAATTTAATCATCAAATTATCTCATTCATTCATTCATTCATTCATATTTGAATTTTGTTTTCTTTTACCTTACAATGCGTAGATTTTTATGTACTGCACGAAGTTCCACAATATTATAAAATGTTGCATATTGTATGTAGATAATGATGCGGTAATAATACAATTCATTAAATTACTTAGTAATACACGTGGTATTAATATGCTCACAACATTTAATCAGTTAGTTTATTTATAGTATTTAAAGTCCATGTGTCTTAACTAAAAAAAAAACAAAGGTAGGTACGTTTATGACAAGATAGCCCCCATTTATAACTTGAGAGCTTTATACAAATAAATATTAGCGTGTGTAATATAAGAAATCTATACATATAATAAAATTGTAACTAAACCGAATCTGTACATTATTTTTTTTTTTGGAAAATCTTATTGAAATAAACATTATTATCGATACAGAGGCCGAATCTATAGTTTTTAGAATTTTTGTCTGTCTGTTTGTCTGTCTGTCTGTCTGTCTGTTACCGCATCACAAAAAACCACGGGAGGGATTTTGATGAAATTTGGTATGGTCATAGCTGATTATCCGGGTCAACATATAGGATACTTTTTACAGCGGAAAAATATCTCATTTCTGAGAAAAAATACAAAAACTGTAATGTAAGAGTATACTAATATGTACAACCTAAGGAATTGGTTTTTGGTAATCTGAACGCGGGCGAAGCCGCGAGCAATGCTAGTATTTTATATGATTGCTTGTACCTAACGTTTGATTTTATTTTTAAAAGTATAAGTCGGCTCTATGAATTGTAAAAGACTCAACCAATAATGTAGAATAAACAATTAATTAGTTTTAATTGTTTATAATAATAGATATTGTACCTATGTGTAAAATTTTAATTCTCTTGTAATTTTTCGTTTTCAAAAGTTTCTAAATATATTACAAATATATTTAACAAAAAAAATCAACATTAAATTAGCATAGATTAGTTTCAATAAATATAACAAATGAGTTTATCAAAAATAACAAATATGTAAATTGCAATAATAATGTATTTTGAAATAGTAATGTCTAGTGAAATAGAAATGAAATGATGAGCACATGTTGAGTTGGTTAATTAAAAAAACGCATGATTACAATGGCGTCACCCAGTGTGGCAGACAAGACGAATGAATCGCGCGCCTGGCAACAACTTTCAAGACGATATGAAATACTCACGAATGCTAGTTATTAATTATAACATTCATAATAATAATAAAACACATAAGGAACACGTATACTTTGCATTAACTTTAAATCGTCTGTTGCTTGCTACGTTTGACCTACGCCTTGCACTGTTACTATAGAAATATCGGTTTGACTTTTAAATATGTATTTCAAATTTAAATATTACTTTATAAACGTTTTTATTGAAAGGACTTCAAACTATACATCTAAACGGCATATTATTGACTATTGAAATATTCAATTAAAACAGTTAATCGAGTTTTGATGTTGGATTTTTAAAAATAATTTAAAATGTCGACGATTACATTGTTATTACATAAATGCAACAGACAATCCACGGATACGTTTCTTGTATTCATATCGAGATTCCTTATGTTATAATTCGAAAACTATTAGCACTACTTACATTGATCTATACATTAATATATATTTTCAAATAAAGATAGTATTGTTCAAAAGTCACTTATTTCTTTCAGAAATACCATAAAAATAAATTCTACAAATCAAATCTGCATATCAAAACTATAAATTTAAGGGTATACACTAAAAAGTAGGGATTGCGAGTGCGTACGCGCGAGACGAGGCGCGCGACGATCAGATTCCAACTGTTGGCGTACGTAGGACGAGCGCCGCGCGCCGACCACGGCGTTTGACCTTATTTAATTAGTTCGTTCGTTTTTACTCTTTGAACGTAACCCAGCATATTAAAATGTATATCACCTAATTTATTGTTGCCATCTTTACCATTGCTATTATTATTCGAACAGCCACATTTAAAATTATCTAAAAGAATAAATATTTTAACATCCTAAATAACTAAGAAACGAAATGATCCACGATATTTTGTTACATTTCAATAAAGCAGCGCGTGCTTGTCGATATCTACTACCTTACACCTACAAAGACGATGCTAGTGCTATTTATGTTCCGAGTTCAACCACCTTACCATCAAGGGTGAATTTCCGCGAACAAATTTACGAATTTACGTATCAAATAAGCATTTCCATTTATAGAATGTTCCCTTAATGTTTATTTACCTTCTAAGTATATAAAAATATAATAAATATAAATATATAAAAAGCCAATAACAAACAATTCTCGGCAGGAGGTCTATAATTTAACCCCGCGTGGGGGTTTTTCAAACTTCGTTTATTTTGTTAGTTTAACAAAGTCGGCTCGATACCCTTTTGTATAAGTTTGATAATCAAATTAGAAATCAACGAGCTCACCCGAATAATAAAAAGATTCTCTTTTTGTTTTTTTTTTCTCTTTATTAAATCTAAAATCAATTGGCAAATAAAAAATGTGTATCATATTCTGAATAGTTAAATACAGTGGTTTAAATCTGGTACATATTATTATATTGTATGTACATTTTTTATTATAATGTTAAAACAGTAGCAACAACAGCAATACGTTTTACAAACTTCCGTGTCAGTTTACATGCAGTGAATTCTTTGCTATAAAACTTCTTTAGACTATTAAATTAATATAAAATAAGTAAAATATTTTGAACCCCCAGCGGTAGCTTTATTATTTAAAATAATGAAATCAAAAATTTTATTGGTACCTAATCCAAAATGGGTGAAAATTGGAGAGCTAAAGTTTCTATATTACACGAAAGTCCTCATAAAGAAATCTCTGTTCTTTAGTTTATCATAAAATCAACATCTTGGGCTAAAAGGTCGAATTTTCGATTAAATTGTATTATACACATACGCGTTATGATTTTTTTTTGATTTAGGTATACTACATTTTATAAACTTATCTATAGTAATGTTATAAAGAGGCAGTTTGTTTGTTTGTTTGATCACGCTTTCAGGAACTACTGATCAGATTTGAAAAATCCTTTTTGCATTAAATAGCCCGTCTATTGAGGAAGGCTATAGACTACATAATATATATCTAATAATATAAAGTCTATGTATTCCATTCTACTGTTAAAAATTACCTAGGGACAACCCTAGCGAAGCGACTCTTGAGTTAGGTACTAGTTTTTCTATACCTATAATATATTTTGTCCAAACTTTTACTGAATTTTAATCTTATCAAGAGACCGTCAAAAGCAAAAGGAGCATTGATTTATTCTGATAATTACAAAATATGTATACCTATACAAAATATCGCAACTTATAAGGTTATTATTTTTTAATATTTCAATGAATTAATAAGTACGTATGAGTACAGAGTTATTCGTAAATAGTAAATAAAGAATTGTGAAATCTAATATTTCCGTTTCAAATACTTGCACTGACATTGGTATAAAATTTTAGAGAATTCCTGACAAGGAGTACTCAAAAATGGAATAAAAATATAATAAAAATTTTAATTCAATATACATAGTTTGTATGTACGTATTATTTATGACTCAAAATACAATTTGTACCTTCAGGGCTATGAAGGCAATGCTCGGAAAATTGCCTCGTCCGTGGATAATGGACGACGCGAAAGACGACGGCTACACGGCACTGCACCTGGCCGCCTTCAACAACCACTCCGAGGTGGCAGAGCTATTGGTACATGGTGGCGCCCGCCTTGACTTGCAGAACGCGAATTTACAGACCGCTCTACATCTCGCCGTGGAACGACAACATACGCAGATTGTGAGGCTTCTGGTGGCACACGGCGCTAACCTCAATATTTGTGATAAGGTTTACTAGTATACTTACTACTTTTAAAATATTTTGTACTATTATTATGAAGAATAAGTATGACATCATACCTTTAAATCTATAATTATTTACATTATGAAATTAATGGCGTAAAACAGTCGGTATTACTTAATTCAACTATTTCAATTGTAAACTTCTAATTTCATGATTTTAAACTTTCATAATAACGCAACTATTGAGTTGTGTTATTGTGTCCCGTCACTTATTTCATCTTGTAAATGCAACTTAATTTAAATATAACAAATGCGCATTGACTTCGTGAATGCTTTCTTTGTCTGTGTGCCTTCGGAGTCCTCGTCCTTCTTTTCGTTAAATTATTTTCGTCATATATAAACCGAGTTCTACAATGTAAATCTAGCTTTTTCAATAGTAGTACAAGTTAAATGTGTAAAAAAAAATACAGCCGAATTGAGAACCTCCTCCTTTTTGAGGAAGTCGGTTGAATATGAACTAACTTGAGCATTACACATAAAAATTTACTCGAAAATGTCTCCTATATTTTATTTGAATTATTTATTAATACAGGATGGAGATACGCCACTACATGAGGCCTTACGACACCACACTCTGCAACAGCTGCGACGGTTGCAAGACGTACGCGACGCTTCATTGCTAAGTGGCTTAGTGCATGCACAAGACAAGAAATCTTCTGCTTCTATTGCCTGCTTCCTAGCGGCACATGGCGCAGACCTTACCATAAAAAATAAAAAAGGTAATTCTCAATTTATTTTTTATTATGTTTGTTCAGACAATACAACACATATGATGTGCAATTTATATGGCATAGCTAGTAAGGTAGAATAGGTGCAAGCCTCCCTTGACTTCACCCGGCGCTTTAATATACTAACAAATCTCAAATTATCCTATACCTAAGCTGATATGCTACACTACTCAACTGTACTATATCTAAAACTAATCCACAAAATTTCATCGCAATTGATTTAGTGTTAAAATGCTTAATTTAGAAGCAAATAGACTATGTACATCCATACTAATATTAAAAATGTGAAAGTGAGTTTGTTTGGTTGTTTGTCCTTCTTTCACGTCGAAACGGAGTGACGGATTCGCGTGATTTTCTGTGGAAATAGTTGGAGGGCTGGAGAGTGACATGGGCTGCTTTTTACCGCGGGAGATTATCTAATTCCCACCGGAAAACGCGTTATAGTACAATTAATATATATATATATATATATATATATATATATATATATATATATATATATATATATATATATATATATTATCAGAATTACTTGAAACTTGGTATTAATGCTTTTCAATAAAAATAAATAAATACGTGTTTTGGCATTTGTCGAAATTCATCCTATAAATTTGGAAATTGAGGATGAAAGTTTCTATGAAACTACCTTTTTGAATTTTTTTGCAGTTTTAGCGCGAGCGAAGCCGCGGGTTCTGCTAGTATACTTATATGTACATAAATGCAGTTTTACTTAAATTGCATCGCATATATCTATTTAAATTTCATATACGGCTTAAAAACTTAATCAACTGGTAATTTAATAAGTAGGTACATCAATTATTAAACTTTGAAATTTTTCATTTATTTCTAGGTCAGACACCGCTAGACCTATGTCCGGATCCGAATCTCCGTAAAACATTAACAACGTGTCGCAAAGAGGGTACAGGAATGAATGACACCACACCTGAAAGTGAATCAGGATCTTTCACAAACGCACCAGTTCCTTCGACGTCCACAGCCGAACCTCCTGCCATCGTCGAAATACAACAAAGTGACCCAACTGCCGATGAATGTCTCGTATGCTCAGACGCCAAGCGCGACACATTGTTCCGCCCCTGCGGACATATTTGCTGTTGTAATGTTTGTGCTGCGAGGGTAGGTTGCACGTGCAAATATTTATTGCTATTCCAGCCATTTAGCAGAGCATATTTTTCGTTTAAAGTTTTTTCTTATCTTGTGTCTGAAATAGATATACTCGTAGTAAATAATAAAACAAATGATAAATCATGTCGTATCCACACGACGATGATTATAAAAAAAATCATAATGAAATCTGTTAAGTGTATCAATTTTTTATTTGTTATATATTTTTTTGTAATTCAAATATATACATTTTTTGTGAATTGTTAAAGATAAAAATCCTTGTAATAGCACTTCTTGAAATTTTAATGGTCTAAGAGTATATGTATAATTATTATATGGTTATGTTTCCCTTTAAATTTGAACTTTTTGTTTCTCAAATAAAATAATATTGTTTTCAGGTGAAGAAGTGTCTACTGTGTCGCGCGGGCGTGTCGTCCCGGCAGCGCGTGGGCGAGTGCGTGGTGTGCTCGGAGGCGCCGGCCACGGTGGTGTTCCGGCCGTGCGGCGACGTGTGCGCGTGCGCGCGCTGCGCCCCGCTCATGCGCAAGTGCGTCGAGTGCCGCACGCCGCTGCAGCCGCCGCACTCGCCGCACTCGCACGCCGCGCCCAGACCCGACGGTACCTTGGTTTTTTTTAACATTGGCAAATGCATTTACGTATAACGTATACCATCTGTATACATTCAGGTTATCTAGGACTTGGCTAGAAAAGCCATTACTACCTACATAGTAATAATATTGCCCTCTTGACGGATTATGGCCACAGTGGCAAATCTCAGTAATCGCCACTTGGGCGTGAGATATTATAGTGAACGAGTGTAGGCGATGATAAAATAAATGAATATGTTGGGGCATTAACACACAGCACCATTTATTTCCATGATAAGCTACGAGGCTTGTGTTATGGATACCAGATAGTACACATATATAAATTTAAATACATACATATTATAAATGTAAACACCCGTGACTGGAGGACAAACATTCGTGCCCATCATACAAATGAATGCCCCCAGCGGGACTCAATCCCGCGACCGCTGGCACAGCAAGTCAATGATACAAATGCACTCTATCCCTATTCATACTCCGGTAGGACGATAACACGACTTTTAAGAGATCAGGCGCGGGACCGACGGTTTTACGTGCTGTCCGACGCACGGGGATAAAACTCCACAAACAGCCCAACTTAGGCTTGTTACTATGAATTTCTTGACAAAAAAACCCAATACCTATACTTAACCCAACCCGGGAGTCAATCCAGGACCCCCGATTCTGCAGTCGTACATACTACTCGACTACCGAGGCAGTTGAGGCATACATACGTTATGTAGGAGTGTATAATTAGAGATCCCTTAGAAATTTATAGGAATGTTTCCTGTCAAGCTAAACTTTTGTTAGTAGCTTCGTTTTGACGAGAGACCCAAATTTTTCTTTCAATAAACGCGCAAAAGTACAAAATTTTTCCTATTTTATTATTCATTAAAAAATATCCAACATTAATATCACACAATTATTATTTTTTTGCTATATATTCCAGCAGCAGGTGAGGCCAGCAGTAGCAGCAGCAGCAACCTAGCCCAAGTGCAAGTAAACAAGGGCCAGCCTGCGCCCGCGCAGGCCGCGCCGCATCTCATGAACAACGGCTTCCGGTCCGCCCCCGCCAACGCCCCCGGCAACAACCCCGTCAACCCCCCCGCCCCTGCCACTGCCCCCTCTAATATCTCAACCCCCACCTCCCTCTCCAAGCCCAACATGAACTCAAACGCCCCGCCCCACCCCCCGCACACCGGCCCCACCCCCGCCACCGCCGCGCCCGCCGCCGCCGACGTGCAGAAGCTACAACAACAGTTACAAGATATTAAGGAGCAGGTATGTTCGCCATGGTTAATTTCCTTAGAAAATGTATTTACGTATAGCTATTAGTGTACAGGTGATATATACAGGTGATTATGTGGTGACTGGCGACTGGAAAAGTTAGTTTCCGGTCTTAATGGCGACAGGATAACTTCCGCACTTGTTGCTTTTACGGTCCACTGTGCTATCAGAGAAGTACCAGCAATCCATCGTGGGCCAAATGCATCTTCTAGCTTCACGCCTGGCTGGATTGTCGGATGATACTGAGACCCCAACTCTGACAACGTGCACACATTGAATGCATGCATGGGGGGAAAGCGGGTGCCTACACTGAATAGATCGAAGAAGTAATTTTCATTAACAGAATATTGACGTGACGCACGTAGCTTTCCCGTAATATTGCAATTCATTCAGTGAATGAGAGCTTCACAGGACTAACCATCTTACTTCTATATTACATTACACTCATTTCATACTTCATACTTATTTAATTACTTACATACATTCTTCTCATCTTTTTTGAAGTAAAACTTCTTTATGCGTAAGGGTTTCGTCAATACATTGGAAAAATGAGTGTAGCGGAAGTCAGTTTCGCGGAAGTGAAAATTCAATTTATTTTTAATAATTTAAAAAGAATATTATATTTATATTTTAATAATTAAGAATTGTATATTAATTAATAATTATCTATACATATAATAAAATTCTAACTGAGTCGAATCTCTACATTAAATATTTTTTGGAAAATCTTATTGAAATAGACATTATTATCGATACAGAGGCCGAATCTATAGTTTTTAGATTTTTTTCTGTCTGTTACAGCATCACGGAAAAACCACTGGAGGGATTTTGATTTTTGGTTTGATGGTAACTGGTTATCCGGGTCAACATATAGAACACTTTTTATCGCGGGAAAATGTCTCATTTCTGAAAAAAAAACGAAATATAAATAAAGTATACTAATATGTAAAACATAAGAATTTGGTATTTGGTCATCTGAACGCGGGCGGAGCCGCAGGCAATGCTAGTTACTAATAAAAATGAATTTTATAACTAATAATTTTATAAAAAATATTATAGGTATTTTGATTTATTTTAATGTAATTGCGGTATCTGGCACAGCGCAAAAGAGGTTTTACGTTACACGCACTCATTTTTTTACCTCTCTCAACACGCGAGTAACGCGTGGGTAATTAATTACTCAGTACTCACTCAAACCTATCCCTAATGGCTTACATAGTATGAAATAAGTTTCCTTTAGTTCATTTAATATAGAAAACGAATTAATTAACAAAAATAATTGAATAAAACCAACCCAACTGCGAACTCCTGCTATGCTTAAATGGCATATTTTCGTTTGTTTGAAACCGTTCAATACTTGTAGCCAAACTCATTACCCTCTTTTTGACGTCACAGCATTCGTGTAAAAATAAATAGCACTATTTACTCAATAACCCCCACAAAGCTACCCTGTGTGCGGGGGGCCGAGAAACACGGAATATACGAATGTGCACCCATGTATTGCTAATCCAAATATCTATTCCGAGCGGGACTCGTCCGGAAAAAGATTATTTCATCTCTCGTTTATTTTTATCATAATTTGTTAAATCGGCCAAGATTCTCTAATAATAACTACCGAAAGTTAAAATATCGGACGCGGCAGTCGGTACAGTTGAACGAGGGCTTAGAAGTATTTAAACTTATTACACTTATTGAATACCATTTCTGCTAAGTATAACTGTCGTAGTGTTTACCATTTCTGCTATAACTGTCGTAGTATTATATGTTTTATTTCAAGAAATGATAAAGGCATAAAAGTGTTCATCATTACAATCGCATTACTAATATTAGACATCAAAATCCTACAAATAATCTTATAGAAATAAATAAGATTGAACAATAATATCTATGACCTATTTATATTAATAACACAATCTATAGAGATATTAGTCAGCTGTGACATTAATATAGACGTGGCCGGGTTTGTAGTACCTAAGATTCAAATATTATAAAAACACCTAGTTTAGTTACTTTAGTTGTTAATTTTAATTTCAATGTAAATATTATATGAACAATTGATTTTTTTTTTGTTTGCAGACAATGTGCCCAATCTGCCTGGACCGCCTCAAGAACATGATCTTCCTGTGCGGCCACGGCATGTGCCAGATGTGCGGCGACCGCATCGCCGTGTGCCCCATCTGCCGCAAGCAAGTCGAGAAACGCATTCTACTTTACTAATTGTCTCATTGTCATCGTTTTAGTAATAGCTAGGTCTTAGTATCAAACTGCTTTCTTTGATAGTTATTTTTTTTTATGAAAATGAGCTCAGGTTAAGCCTGCCAATTGCGTTTGGGCAATGAATCTAAATATGAAATGTTCTAATGTTACATTTCCTTATCTCTATGAGTAGGTTTGTTTAAACACTCGCAATCTTAGGTTTGGTTCATCTTTTATGTTGTATATTTTGTTTGTTTATCACAAATAACTAAATCAAAGAAAGTGCAAGAAATATTTTTTTATTTAATATAAGTTTTCATTACTTCTACATTTTACACTATTTTAAGGTATTACTTAAATGCTTAATGTCGTTAATTATCTTTTTAAGCCTTGATGTAAGGGACTAGTGTAGTAAATATTCATGATAATATATTATATCATCTTTATATAGTGTATGATCTACTAACGTTACAATAGCAGGCAAGTTTTTCAACTTTTATACTCCCAACATGCCTTGATCTGAATTAAAGTGTTAGTAATTTATGTTAGGATAAATTAAAAGATAAAAAATTATTAAAGACCGTAGATGCCACACAGTATCAAAAATGAATGAAAAGTGCCAAAAAAAGGTAAAATATCGAATCATAAAAAAATATGTTTTACTTGTTTTTCTTTAAGTCATATAAAAAATATATACATAGATAAATTCAGACTTCTAAAAAAAGAAAAGAAGAACTGGGCAACAATACATTGAATGAATAGATGTAACTAATTATAGTGAAATATGTATCATCATAAAAATTTGAACAAAATATGCGATATCCAATAAAAATAGACAACAGTATTAAGCAAATGATATGCATAGCACTACCTGGATTTGGTTCTCGCGCGGATTTTGGTCTCGTTCAAACAAAACTCGATTTTAGGGACATAAAAAATAACAATTGATTTAATTTCTTTGTGCGATTTGAAGCACACTCTTCTCTACTATTCTCCTCTATACATTCTTAATTTTCGTTACTCTCTTGATCCTGCATTTGGTCTAATTTGAACATAACGGCATTTCCAAGAAAGTTTTTCGCCGAGAATCTGATTTCCATCGCCTTAAAACAAAAGTCTGAGCGCTGACGAATTATAATAAAGATAATAGTAAAAACACACGACCATGTCGTACAAATAATGTGAAGCTAAATGTATGTAAGAAGCATTTCAAACGCCCCTACATTGAGAATACTCTAGATGAAATTCTTAAATATAAGTTCTCATATTTTATATTGTAATCTAGTGTATTAATATATTAGAAATGTAATTATGTACTGCCAAATGTTTAAAATAGTGGGTACCTAGTAATCTTCTGAGTACCGATATATACAAATATTGTTACGTATTACAAACGAGAAATATTTATAATTTTAATTTAGGATATGTCTATTTTTAATCAGATTTTGTTCTGTATAGTATTAGCAAAAGGCCAGATATTTCAATTGTCATGAAGTTGATACATCGATAAAGTTATTTTATTTTCTTTAATTTCCACATAACTAATGAAAACCCTGTTTCGGAATAAAATCTGTAAGAATATTTGTAATAACTCAACGATAAATTAATGAATCGGATTAAAGAGCTTAAATAAACTTACTGTTTAATCCAACTGTTTAAAATAAATAACTTCAAAATGGTGGCTGTAATATGATAATATACTGACAAATTATTTGATAATTAAAAAATCGGCTTGAATAATTTAAATTTATGCGAATAAAAATAAGTATAAATGCATTTATTTCATGTTTAAATCAGAGAAATCTTATTAAACTCACCCGTCATTGTCTTTTTTTGTTACGGCGTATCTTTTTAATTATTCGTCATATTTATATTACACACACCACAATTTAGTTGTATTTTAATGTTATTGTTAGCGTTTTTATTGTTGTCATCATCAAAAATATTATATTATTTATTATTAATAATATTATTACTAAAAATAACTTTGTATTCATATGAAAGCAACAATTGTACGTTATACCTACATAAAAACATTCATTTTATATTTAATTTTCATTTATACTGTAATTGATGTCTCTTTTTTTCATCTATTTCACATTCCTTCTACAAAGAATATTAAATTAATAAGCATTATTACTATGTTATACTACAAAAGATATTTACTTTATATTTTTAAGCATTGTTGCTTTTTTAACACTTAATATTATTTAAAATTATTACTTTAATTATTATAGTCCCGTTTTGATGAAGGAACGTATCAATGGATTTTTGCACAGAGAGGGTTTATGGACCGATGGACCTACCGATATTTTACATTCGTACTTTTAGTGTTTCCGTGAGATATTAGTCCATTGAAAGAGTGGAACAACTGCTACATAATATTTTTAAGCTACAACACAGCTTAGGGCAAAAGGAATTAACAAAAATGTTAAAAACTCTTTTTATTAGTTCCTTTTGTATCTCAGAATAAGCGGAAATTGCTGCCTAGCTCATACAGATTTGACGCTAATTTTCTGTATATTGTTTTTATAAATATCTCATAAACATTACATTCTTAATTATTTTCTATTTATTTAAAATTCTTCATTTATATTTATAGATTAATGTAAGTCAACAGCTATATCATGTATCGTTATACTGTATTATGTAACTAATCCAACTGTTATCATTAATAATAATAAAATTTATTTGCCTATGTTTACTTGTAACTTAAAATCTTCTATCACGTCAGTACTCAGTACGTACTACGTAATAAATCAGGCCAATAAAAAAGTTAGATGGCACACGCGTAAAGAAAAGCGTTCAAGGAGGTGAAATATCGCATTAATTAAAGTTTTAAAAAATTAACGTTCTATCGCGTACACACAAACGTGAGGTAATTAAAAATGTTGATCTTAAAACCTATTAACGTCTGTTTCTATTATTATAATTTTTAAGGTTTATACATAAAACGTACGCATTTAACTTTAGATAACTCGTACTTATATATACTATACGTATTATATATACTCGTACGTATATAAGTTACAACGGCTGTAATGTTCCTATTTCAAATACAGCTTTCTTTGCTCTGCTTTATTAAGAGAACGCGGGACTCTGTCTACCTTATTGTGGTCTGAGACTAATAACTAATTCTTTAATAATTTCAGTGTTGTAGTTATTGTAACCGGCTAATAAGCAGGTATATGATGTTTGAATGTAGGAATATTGTCAAGCTTATATATTACTTATTGCTGCATTGTTATTGTATTTACCTTTTTTTTTTTTTTTTGTTGACGCTGGGGAAACCCATCATGGGGACCCTACCGGCCGTCAATGGGTAGGGTACTGTGAGACTCCTACTCACTAAAACCCACAGCGGAACCCGTCGCCGCAGTGCAATGGGGTGTGCAGGATCGCTTGCGCATTCACTGCAATTATTATTGTATTTACCTAAATAAACTGCTTTTAATACAAAGTTTTTTCTTTAAAATCGTATATCATTAACTATCGACAATTGCAATTTATAATTTACTTTGCATACATTACTAGTGGCTTCCAAGAAACAGATCATCAGGTATTTTGCCATCTTGACCAATAGACCTACGATTGATATACCCATCGTTCAAAAGAAGAGTGCTTGAGTTAATAGACTTTTTCGCGCACTGTAATCTCCCTAGAGTAAAAATGTTCCTTGACTGTAATATAAAGGTCTCTGTGATGAATGATCCTCATCCCGAACCGAAGTCTAACCGCTATAATACAAGTATCCCGAAAATAACGCAAGGAGTAACGAACTTTTATTTCTATATAAAATCAAATTTCAAATGAAATGAATATAAAATTAAAGATCCTTTAATGACATGCATCATCATAACAAATCTATATGTAATACAGGGGGAAACCACCGTAGTTGGCGTGTCTTCAGACAAACTAGCTTTGCCCGCGGCTCCGCCCGCGTTCAGATGACCAAAAACCAAATTCTTAGGTTTTACATATTAGCATAATTTTACATTGCAGTTTTTGTATTTTTTATCAAAAATGAGATATTTTCCCGCGGTAAAAAGTATCCTATATGTTGACCCGCATAACTATCACCATACCAAATTTCATCAAAATCTTTCCAGCAGTTTTTTTTTTGATGAAGAAAAAATTTGACAACGTCAATACAAAATTTATTGTGTAATCGAAATTTATTTTAAAATATACCCAAAAATAACATTAATAATTGAATTAATAGTATAAAAAATGTTTTAAAACACAACAAAATCGAAAGTGCATAATATTTAACACCATTCAGACAAAGAAAGACAATAGCATTCCCAAGGAGGGTTGACGTCAGGCAGGCGGCCGATCGTAAAACTTTTGCCAAATCCTATCAGCAGTACACTGAAGATGTACTGCGCCGACCCCAAGTGATTTGGGAAATGGGCAGGGAGAAGAAGAAGAAGTTTTTTTTTTATGCGGTAACAGACAGACAAAGATTCTAAAAACTATAGATTCGGCCTCTGTATCGATAATAATGTTTATTTCAATAAGATTTTCCAAAAAATATTTAATGTACAGATTGGGCTTAGTTACAATTTTATTATATTTATAGATAAGACTATAAACATTGCTAGATGAGATTCAGAAAATTCAGTCTTGTTATACTTGTCTTACTATTTTTTTGAATGGCGGTCCTACATTGAACATTCTATATGAGGCGGACGACAGGGAATGAATTAAAAATGATGCTCATGGTCGAGGAGACCAAGGCAAGACCATTTATCGAAGTTTTCGAATGAATTATGGATTCCAATCAATAATTGATTTAAATGTTTTATCTAAATTCAATGAAAAATTATTACGTATATTAATGATTCAGTTTTGAAGATCAGTTATTTTTCAGAATAATCAATCAGAATAAATTCGAAATTTCCAAAAGGTAGTGTAATTTTTTTCTGAAATTGGAGAACACATTACACAGACAATACAATAAAAGTAGGCTGCCCTCACAAATTTTGTCTGTTTTTTGAAAATATAAATAAAATTACAAATTTTTCGAAGCTGACCATCGATCAAAAAAGTACTTTTACTTACAAAAAGCTAACGATTGACGAATTATTGAAATTTGAATTACTAGACTTGACGTGTAACGTCTTTAAAATCACTCCGAAACTTAAGGTCAGAAAAGTGGACCGTAACGAAATAGGTTGCGTCAGGTTACCGTTAGTGACCGTTGTTAATGTCTGAAAAATGATATATAAATTTTGTTGTTCCTTATTTGTGATATAATATGATATTCTTTCCTTCGCTATCTTCAAAGATTACAATTTTTACTAAATTGCTGTCCAATATTAATCGAAAGAATTATATACACTACCTATTCTGTATCAATATAGTATTAAAACAATTACAATGAAGTCAATTTCGTTTTCATTCTAATCTTTAAAATTTAAACCAATGGCGGTGTGCCCCGATACAGCCCTACACGTTTTTTTTGTTTCTACTATATCCCACAGATACTCCCTTTTTACTCTGTGCAAATGAAAGCGTCAAAAGTCAAAACAAAACTTAGTATGTCAAAAATATATTGTGAAGCTAAAATAAATAGAAAATTATTATAAACTATTACAAATAAAATATCCCTTGTTATTTTAATTGAAATTTATCTGCAATAATTAGCAAGAAATTACACATTTCAGTATAAAAATGTATTAAAACAATACAAATTATTGGAACACTTCAAATTTCAAATTATTAAAAATCATGGATAAACGAGGAAAGCGTCATCATTCTTCTTCTGATTCAGATAGTATCGAAGAAAGTCGTTTAAAAGATATAAAAGAGCGTGATGAGTTTGCGACAAGGTTACGAAAACGTGATGAAGAAAAAGTTAAAAAAGTTGTGGAAGGAACCAGCAAAAGATCTTATGAAGAAGCTGCAAAAAGATTAAGACTAGAAGCAGAGGATCGTGATAAAGTTTTACCTAAACTTCGAATCCAATCAAGACGCAAATATTTACAAAAACGAAAAGATGATAAGGTTGTCGAACTGGAAGATGATATAGCTGATGATGAATATCTCTTTGATGAGAGCATGTAAGTTTTATTTTTTGTATTTATTCACTGCTTATAATTATATTAATAAATAATATGTGGTTGTAACAAAAGTAACATTTATTAAAATGTACAGATTAACTGAACGTGAAAAGAAAGAAAGAGAGCATAAAAAAACATTATTACAACTTGCTAAAGAACATGAGAAGGCAAGAGAACTTGAAAATGTTCAAAGATATCATATGCCACGAGACCTTGGAAAAGGTGAAAGAGGTAATAAATTTGTTTACTTTTAAAGACTTATTAAACGTCAAAAAAGAATATATTCTTAACTAAATAATTCAAAATAATAGCGGCTTACCCTCGCTTTGCTCGGGTTTGCCTCTAAGAAAACAAAAGCAAACCTATCCCACGCAAACCGTACATTTTTCTGGAATAAAATATAGCCTATGTGTTATACCAAACTATAATCTATCTCTGTTCCAAATTTCACCCAGATCCGTTCAGCCGTTCTGGCGTGAAAGAGTAACAAACATCCATACATACAAACTCACATTTATAATATTTATACAGATTATATAATACTTTATGTGCATTTTTCAAACAGCTGAAAATTAAATCCTTATATTGTTTTTTAAACAGGAGATTATGTAGAAGTAGATGAAAATGAAAAATTACCACATTCAGAACAAAGAAAATGGGAGCAAGAGCAAATAAAATCTGCATTTTTTAAATTCGGTGCAAAAGATGCTAAAGCTCATGATGAGTATGAACTACTATTAGATGAACAAATAGACTTTATACAAGCATTACAATTAGAAGGAAACAAGGAAAAGAAAGAAGAAGAAAATATATCAGAGTACCAAAAAATACGAATGACAATTGAAGAAACAAAGAAATCTCTACCTGTTTTTCCTTTTAGAGAATCTTTAATCGAAGCTATAAAAAATTATCAAATATTAATCGTTGAAGGAGAGACTGGTTCTGGTAAAACCACACAAATACCCCAGTATTTATATGAAGCAGGATTTACAGAAGATGGTAAAAAGATTGGTTGCACACAACCGAGAAGAGTTGCAGCAATGTCAGTAGCAGCCAGAGTGGCACAAGAAATGAATGTCAAATTGGGTAATGAAGTAGGTTACAGTATAAGATTTGAAGATTGCACATCTGATAGGACTGTTATAAAATATATGACTGATGGTACATTACACCGGGAATTTTTGTCTGAACCAGATTTAGCATCATACAGTGTAATGATTATTGATGAAGCACATGAACGTACACTGCATACAGATATATTATTTGGACTTGTCAAAGACATCACCAGGTTTAGACCAGATTTAAAGTTACTCATTTCCAGTGCCACATTAGATGCTGAAAAATTTTCTACCTTTTTTGATGATGCACCAATATTTAGAATTCCTGGTAGGAGATTCCCTGTTGATATATATTATACAAAAGCACCAGAAGCAGATTATATTGATGCTTGTGTGGTAACTGTATTGCAAATTCATGCCACTCAACCTCTTGGTGATGTATTAGTATTTTTAACAGGACAGGAAGAAATTGAAACTTGTGTAGAAATGTTACAAGAGAGGACAAAAAGAATAGGAAAAAAATTAAAAGAGCTTTTAATTTTACCAGTTTATGCTAATTTGCCAACTGATATGCAAGCTAAAATTTTTGAACCTACTCCTGAAGGAGCCCGAAAGGTAGTACTTGCAACCAACATTGCTGAAACATCATTAACAATTGATAATATTATATATGTTATTGATCCAGGGTTTGCAAAACAAAATAACTTTAACTCCAAAACTGGTATGGAAAGTCTAATGGTGGTCCCAATTTCCAAAGCATCAGCTAACCAAAGAGCCGGAAGAGCTGGAAGAGTTGCTCCTGGAAAATGTTTTAGACTATACACAGCTTGGGCTTATAAATATGAATTAGAAGATAACACTGTTCCTGAAATTCAACGTATAAATTTAGGAAATGCTGTACTCACATTAAAGGCATTGGGAATCAATGATTTAATCCACTTTGATTTCCTGGATCCTCCACCACATGAAACATTAGTTTTAGCATTAGAACAATTGTATGCCCTAGGTGCACTTAACCATCATGGGGAACTAACAAAGGCTGGTAGACGTATGGCAGAATTTCCTACTGACCCTATGCTAGCTAAAATGTTACTAGCAAGTGAAAAGTAAGATATTTTTGCATTTTCTTAAGTGAGATAACATGTGTTGCTTTAAAATTTAATTTATATTTTATAAATACAATTTATTTATGATGTGAATTTTATTTAAGATTAATTATTAACTTCCTTTCAGATATAAATGTTCAGAGGAAGTAGTAACAATAGCTGCAATGCTGTCAGTCAATAGCTCTGTATTTTATAGACCAAAAGATAAAATAATACATGCAGATACAGCAAGAAAAAACTTTTTCCATAGATATGGGGATCATTTAACCTTGATGAATGTTTATAATCAATGGGCGGACTCAGATTATTCAGTACAATGGTGTTATGAAAATTTTATTCAGTATAGATCTATGAAGAGAGCACGTGATGTGCGTGAACAGCTTGTAGGACTTATGGAAAGAGTAGAAATAGAAATGATGTCAAGCATAGCAGATGATGCTAATATTCGTAAAGCTATAACCTCTGGCTATTTTTATCACATTGCTAAGTTCTCTAAAGGAGGTCATTATAAAACTGTAAAACACAACCAAGTAAGTAATATATTGAATATTAAATATATATTAAGCCTCACTTTATTCAGATCCTATCCATAGGATATGTACATAAATGTTATAATAAAACCTGAATTGATGCACCTGTTGATTGAATTGACTGTTACATGATCTGGTTGCATGTGCTGATTTCTCCAAATCTATTCTTTGTTTATAAGTGATTGACTCACAGAGTTGCAAATGTCTAAATATCTTCACACACATCCATATTTTTAATGCAATATTAATAATGACATAATTAGAATTTAAAATAAACTTTTTAATTTAACACTATATGAATAACACCATAACTTTTTTTAACATATTTGATGTGTATTGCTTTAATTTTATAATATGCTAACTTCTTTCAGACTGTCATGATTCATCCCAATAGTGCATTATTTGAAGAATTGCCTAGATGGGTAATATATCATGAGCTTGTTTTCACTTCTAAAGAATTCATGCGACAAGTTACAGAGATTGAAAGTAAATGGCTTTTAGAAGTTGCTCCACACTACTATAAGGCTAAAGAGTTAGAAGATTCTACAAATAAAAAGATGCCTAAAACACTTGGAAAATCAGCTAATAATACTTAAAAGGGCTAGTTATTAAAAATGTATACCACTGAGTTGTTTAATTTTATTAACTAAAAACAACTTCTTTAATAATTTATTATCACATACAGAAGCTTAAGATAATTTATATTCTATTAAAAACAAAATAACTCTGATGTTTGTTATGAGATGAACTACTAATCATTACTTTACTCTCAATAAATTCATAACAATCAAATGTTATAGTAGCAAATAAAATATTTAAATTAAAAATCGGACACTCTCCCTTTCCTTTCCCAATCACCATATCTTGTTGGTTCAGGGCCTCTAGGTCCTCCAACCTCTCCTGTGTTAGGATTTGTGTTATTAGGCCATGCTGGTAATGGATCATCTTTGGGAGGCAACTCCGATTGTTCTCCTAAATCCTTTATAGGTGTAGTTTCTCTTAGTTTTTTTCTAAATTCAGCTAACCTCTTAGATTCACTCTTAGTATGCTCCTCGGACTTAGCATCTGTATCCGATTTTTGAGAATACTTGCATAATGTTAAATTATTAGACTGAGTCACTAGAACAAAATTTTAATAAATAAATTACTTATTAATTTTTAACAAATATTACAGACGAAAATATTACTTTTTGTACATAATTCTTTAATAATGTTTAATCTAATGTGAAACATAGTTAAAAAATTTAATAGCCCGTATTTTTATTTAATATTTAGTAATGTCAACAATTAACAAACCAAAACAATTTTTGACAACCTCTTTTGGTCATGATTTATTCTAAAATTTGAATTCTGTGTGTAATGTTATTTTGCTCAACACATGAAGCTAAAAATTAATTTATTAAATAAGATAAGTCTGTATATTTTAGAATTCTTTCATATAATATAAATAACGTATATGTTAATTAAACAAAAAAACTATGGTATTTTTTAAATATTTGAGTAAATAGCAAGTAGCAACACTTTATTAATCCAATGACATTATTCATTATTGTCTATGGAATTATCATATGATCAATGATCTATTGAGTTTCGTCTTCCTCTTCCAATTTTTTGATTGTAGTGGTACAACTAGATTTCATTAAAAAATCCGGCGAGAGGTTTATATAAAAATGAAGGGCTGCATTTTCAACATCGATGCTGGATATTTGGAGGGATTGTGCCGCGGTTTTAAGTGTGGGATACTCAAGCAATCCGATTACTTGAATTTGGTACAATGCGAAACATTGGAAGGTAAATTACATCTTTTAGCACTTTATTCTTTTTTGTTTCCACAATTACTATCTTGTTTTATATTACATAACACATACCTATTAAAATGTAAAAATGTCTACACACCACACCCCCTTTAATGAAAATTAAAACTACAAACTAGTGTTACTCTATAATGAATGTTTACAGATTTAAAACTCCATTTACAAGGAACAGACTATGGAACATTCCTTGCTAATGAGCCCAGCCCTCTCGCTGTATCAACTATTGATGACAAGCTGCGTGAAAAGCTTGTTATTGAATTTCAACATCTGAGAAATCACTCTGTTGAACCTATGTCAACTTTCCTTGACTTCATCACCTACAGTTACATGATTGATAATATCATTCTACTGATCACTGGTACTCTGCACCAGAGACCAATTTCTGAATTGATTCCTAAATGTCATCCTCTTGGTTCTTTTGAACAAATGGAAGCTATTCATGTTGCTGCCACTCCAGCTGAGCTCTACAATGCTGTGCTGGTTGACACACCACTTGCACCATTTTTTGTTGATTGTATCAGTGAACAAGATTTAGATGAGATGAACATTGAAATCATTCGTAACACTCTTTACAAGGCCTATTTGGAGGCTTTCTATGAATTCTGCAAACAGATTGGAGGAACAACTGCTGATGTCATGTGTGAAATTTTGGCTGTAAGTAATTATATTTAATTGCTTAGTGTAGGTGTTTTAGCTTACTTTGTTAAGCATGTTTGTGATTATGCTAATAAAAGTTAACATCTACATTTTAAACAAATAATATATCAAATAATAATTTAAAAAATATTTTTCTTATTTCAATAGAAATCTCTAATTAAAACAATATTATTATTTAAAATTTATTAAATGTTTATTATATAATTTCATAAATTTAAATTTTTTTGTAGATGATTTTATTTTATATACATACTTTAAACATTGACCAAAAAGTACTAGTGAGTCCTCACCGAATGAGCACTCATTTAAACATTTGAGAGCACTTTTAATTTATTTTTTTTGTGAAAACTTTAAGCATTGCATTTAAGATTCAATTTACATTGTTATTTATTTTAACTAGAATAATTACCTAAGAACAATTGATGACAGTTTTAAAAGAACTTTTGCATGGGATTGTGTATCTAGTACTTTTTTTATTGATGACTATAAATGATAATATGTCCTATTTAGGGTATAGGAATAATATGTAATTTATTTTTAATATATAAAAAATATGACTATAATTAATTGTAGTTTGAAGCTGACCGTCGTGCTATTATTATTACCATCAACTCTTTTGGAACTGAGTTGTCAAAGGATGATCGTGCTAAACTTTACCCACGCTGTGGAAAGCTGAATCCAGATGGACTAGCAGCACTTGCCCGTGCTGATGATTATGAACAAGTCAAGGCTGTAGCAGAGTACTATGCCGAGTACTCTGCACTCTTTGAAGGAGCTGGCAACAATGTTGGTGATAAAACCTTGGAAGATAAATTCTTTGAACATGAAGTAAGTTGCGTATTATTCCTTATTCTTATTTATTTTCATATATTGTTTTGGTATATCTTTAAAATATAAATATAAAAACCCTTTCCGTGTTTCAGGTGTCTCTAAATGTAAATGCATTCTTACAACAATTCCACTTTGGAGTGTTTTACTCGTACCTCAAGCTCAAGGAACAAGAATGCCGAAACATTGTTTGGATCAGTGAATGTGTTGCCCAGAAACACCGAGCTAAAATTGACAACTACATTCCCATATTCTAAATGATTATTCACTTAAGCAGATCTATGTTATTCTTCATAATGTAAATATTGTTACTGAGTGTAAATTACTATTATTGCAAACCTGTTCCATTTTATTGCTTGCTTGTGCAAATGTGTAGTCTCACAATATTTATAATACTATACTTCAAAATTCTATGATATTTTTTTTAATACACATGTTAAATTGCAATAAGAGTTTATTGAATGAGATATATATAATAAAAAATTAAAAAATATTTATTATAAATTATATTAGTTCAATTTTTAATTATTTTATCAAAAAAGATTATTAAGCTAGACATTCCGTATTATTTTATTTAAACTCTGACCTTTTCAGTATTGGATTGTAATTGTTTTAACATAAACTAAAATTTCAGAACTTTTTTAAATGTGTGCTGTTTCAGAATGCTAGGTTACTTGTAACTCTGTTGCACAAAGTTTAAAAAATATATTTTTTTTCAGATTTTGTACACTATCAAAGTTTATATCTATCCCATCTTAAGACATTTGTCTCCATAAAAATATTAAATTATATTTTGCCATAAAATTGACTTTAATGATATTTATTATGATTCAATAGTGTAAATATTCATATTATAAAAACATATTCTGGAGAATCCATTGTATTTTGTCATTGATGTAATGATAGTAGTGTTATTTTATTTTCTGTAGACATCTTAACTTTTACAAAAGGTATATTCTTAATTGTAAAATGTGTAAATTATTATAGATTCTTGGTTAAATAAAAACACAAAATTTTAAACAGTATATTATTTACTTTCTTCTGATATATCTTTTGATTTTTGTAACTTATACTTTTTATTACCAATTTGCTCATTAATTATGTGGGTTATTGGTCCTTCATAGTTATTTATGAGCTTCGAACTGAGTATGTCATAATTGTCCTTCCAGTAAGAATTTTTTAACATATCATCATGAACATCCACAATTAATGTCTTTTTTAATTCTTCATTTTTTATTGGTTTCCTTAAAAGTAGGGTCCCTCTCTTAAATATATTAGGTTCATTATTGTAATTGATATTAAACTCTTTAAATAATATTTCATTCTTATCAGCAGATACTGTTCCACACAATCTTTTTTCGGCCTAGAAATAATACAGTTAATATTAATCCATTATGTAGAATAATTTATGAATAACTTAATAATTAAATACTTACTTGAACAGGAGTCAAACCACCTTGTAAGATTAGAGTCCAAAAAGTAGTATTGTAGAGATTATTTATATGCACATCTGCTTGTCTCCATTTTAGGTAATCAATTAAATTTTCGTCAGAAGGATACAAAACTATGCGCCCATCGAAGGATGGTGGATATCTTAAATTTTCTTGATCAAAAAATTTATTCCAGTAAAAAACATAAGATGAAGAAAATTTGCTATTAATTGTTGTCAATAATTTAGCTGCTCGTCTTTTATAAAGATTGGATTTTTTTTTAAATATAAAAGAATATTCGTCGCTTTGACCGAAAGCCATCAATACATCATTAAACTCGCGCAACACTTTAAAAGCCGCATAATTCATCAAATTCAGTGCTCGCAAATCATTAGGTTTGCTGAAATTGTGATCTTCTGAAAATTTGTGAAAACATTTTCCATCTAATCTCACAACTATCCAAGTGTTAGGAAGAAGACTGTCGTCCTGTTCATAATTTTTTACATATACAAACGAACTTTTAGCCATTTTCAAACTTTTAAAATAAAGAATTTTACTTTTATTACAGGATAATATATATGGAAATATCCTTTTAAATAACATACGGAATGTGGACACATTTACAAATACAAAAATCTTGTTTTTATTTTTGTAACCTAAACCAACCACAGACCACAGGTCACAGCCGACAGAGCACAGGCCACAGACAAATATTGAAATATTGACAGTTTGAGTCAGATTATACCATGGATGTGGATTAAAGTAAACATAAGCGTAGCATCTCTATGTAGTTTGTCTTTGTGTTAAACATATTTTATTATAAATATACTCGTATTAAAATAAAATACTTTAGACTGTTTTTAGACAGTACTATGTATTTCTATGTATTCAAGCAAAAATAGCTTTATTTTGATTTGCAGTTTTGATAATTATGGACTGCATAACTCATATACCAGGGGAGACAAACTTGCGGCTCTTTGAAGGATTATATTTTATGGCTATTGATAAATGTACCCAAGTTCCCTTTTCATTTTTGTGCTATATATGTATATTTAAAAAAATATTATCGTTCCGTATGTGTTTCAAGATGTCTTTTAAATTACTGACAATAAAATATATGAAAGACTAAATGCAACGTTGTAACAAATTTCATTTCCGTCCAAGTTAAGAATGATATGACTATTGACTCATCGAAAACTGCGCGAACGAAACATTTTATTCCAATTTAAAATTCGTGAAATCCAAACACCGATTAACTAACCAGCATCTCAAAGAATTACTGAGAAGTGCTGTCACCAATTATTCACCAAATTTTAAAGAATTATCAAGAGAATTAAAATAAATGTGTACATATTTTGGATCCTGTATAAATATAAAATAATATTTTCAATAAATATAATTTCTGTTAAAATACAAAATTAATATCTTTTTTGCATACCTTTTAGATAGGTACGTATTTTAATTGCGGCTCGCGAAAAATTTCAATATTTGAAAAATATCTCGGACTATCAAGGAGCTTGGCCACACCTGTCATATACAATGATTTATGATTATGAATTAAAAATGATAAATTATGAAAGAAATACAAGTGTAGGCGAAACCACAATAGCTGATAATAATAATATTAAAAACCAACCATTAAAAAGTCGTAGTTTTTGCAATTACCTTGTTTAATAATTTATTAATATATTATAGTATACATACATATATTATTATATTTATATCATTTATCATATTTTTTATTACACAAGTAACTTCTTCACTTCATTAGGTGTTCTTCGTATTATTGATTGAGGTTCTACATATCCATTTTTTGGATCATGTATTGCTTGATATAATTGCTCATATATAGCCATTATCACTTCAAAAGCTCTTTTCTTTACATATGATTTATGATTTTGACTTATAAGTAGATTTAACTGGGACAGTATGTACACATCAGGTGTGACTAAAAACAAATCAAACTTATTTAAAAATGTCTTCAATGAATTTGTATCCATGCCAGGAATTGCTGATAGAGGACCATCAATCTTTTCTTGTAACATTGTATAAATAGGACCCATATTCAAATTTGCAACTAGGAAACTGGCTTGTTCAGATGTCAAAGTATCAATTTGGGCTTCTGATTGTGCCTGGAGCCTTTCATTATATTCATCTAAAATAGTGTATAATGAAAGTGTACATTGAATATGATAAATACAATTTAACATGTACACTGACATATCTGTGGAACTCAAATGGCATGCAGTTTCATTAATTGCATGCAGAAGAGGATCTAATATATGCATTATTAAAATCTTTTTGTCTATATTGTTTATGTCATTTGAAGTATTCATCAAATCTCGCAAAAAACTAACCAAATCTGTAACTACAAATGATGGATTTAAGTCAGATGGAGGTGCTTTAACACCATGGCTCAATTCTTTTTGCACTTTACTATCCAAGGTCATGAGAAATACTAGTTCACTTTTTCTAGAAAGTTCTTCAAAAGTATCAATCATATGACCTTTTATAATAATGTTTTGAGTAATTTCTTTATAATAAATTATGAGATTTGTAATAGACCACAGGACTAGTGGATCTTTATCAGGCTTTAATATAAGTTCAGCTCTAACTTTCAGTAATGGGCATAAAGCCTCCATTATATTTGTCAGAGCCTCTGTAATTTTATGTTCTTTATCAGGCAAAATACAGTATTTGAGAAGAGTAGACAGATTTTCTTTTTCGATTGGGATTATTTGATAAACCCATGCTAATATATCACCTATATACCTTTTGGCATCTGTAGCATAAAATTCTATGGGCTTTGAACCATTATCTCCACCTTTGGTTAAAACATCTATAAATTTTTGTACAACCATGGCTTTTCTTGCATTGCAATATTCATCAATAATGTTACAAAACAATACTTGTCTGTTTTCAAATTTTGCTAAAGCTTTCGGCACCAAGGCATTATTTGGTGAATCTATGATTAAACATGCACCAATAGTCCAATGATATAATTTTTCAATTGCAGCTTCTTGTTGCAACCCTATTGTTTCCATAATATCAAAGGCTGGAGTTTGATACCAGCATTTTATGAGAGTCCTACAGTTATCATTTAATTTTTCAACATTTGCCAAGGAATCAAAGAAGTCATGGGTAAGTGGAGATACATTCAAGAGGTTTTTGGTTTGTTCTGGAGATATGTGAAAATTTTTTACAAAGGCATTGACCCATGTCAACTTCTTTTTTGTTTTCTTTCTTTCTTCTTTCAATTTAGTTGTCTGGGCTATAATGTGATGAGTTTTTGTTTTGGATTCATGTAATCTGTTTGACATATCATTTACTGCAATATCCAAAGAGCTTAGGGAATCTATTAATATTTGCAATTTATCTTTGACTTTACCATATTCTAATAAAATATTTTTGTTAACTGAAAGATCTCTTTTTTCAATTTCATTAACCAGTACTCTTCTAGTATAAGAAGAATTTGCAGAGCACAAACCGGAAACAGTATAAAGGGCTTCACTGTTATCAGTTATGATGTGGCTATCAAAAATCTTATTAATTCGCTGCCTTATAGGATTATTATAAACATGTTCCATTTTTGATTATAAGTTATTTAATTAACTTTTTGTTGATATTTTTTTTATTTTCTATTTTCTTCCAATGTGTGATGTGTTAAATGTCAATAAGAATTAAGAAAATATCAGTATTCAGTCGGGAGTCGGGATAGTTTTAACCATAGACCAAGAACGACAAGATTTTAACTTTTAGGAAGGTACCTATTCATCTATGGTAATTGGTATGGTATTATCTACAGAGTCACAGACTAAGACATATCTTCGTCTCAGTTATAGACCTAGAGTAGCGGCAAAGAGAATGTAACCACTACAGCAGCGGTTCCCATTTGGGAATTATTTGGGTGATCCGCGGAACATTAGGGTTCCGTGGAAGGGTCACAGAGGCTTGAGTTATATCCGAGAGTAAAATAAAACGTTGTCAGACATGAAGCCTGATTTTTCATATTAGTGCTATAATCTATACATATAATAAAATTCTAACTAAGTCGAATCTGTACATTAAATATTTTTTGGGAAATCTAATTGAAATATACATTATTATCGATACAGAGTCCGAATGTATAGTTTTTAGAATTTTTGTCTGTCTGTCTGTCTGTCTGTTACAGAGAAAACCACTGGACAGATTTCGATGAAATTTGGTATGATGATAGCTGGTTATTCTGGTCAACATATAGGATACTTTTAACCGCAGAAAAATATGTCATTTCTGAGAAAAAATACAAAAATACAAAAACTGCATTGTAAGAGTATACTAATATGTAAAACCTAAGAATTTGGTTTTTGGTCATGTGAACGCGGGTGGAGCGGCGGGCAATGCTAGTATATAAATGAATATGTGAAAAAATTTCATTGGAGACATTAAATAGCTCAGTTATATTTTGGTACAATAAATATTATTGAAGTTATAATTCTTTTGAGACGTTTGGAAAAAATATGAGAATAAAATTTTTACGATGCGCGCGCACACCGATAGCCGAAGAGCGACATGATGAAGTTAGCTGCATTCCTTTTAAAAGCAGAGACTTGTGACATACGGGATGAAATCTTTAGATATTTTTGTTCTGTTACGCCAAAGAAGTATTTAACTTCTAACATGCGTACATAAGTACACACTGTACGCGTTTTTAAATTCTATTTTTTTGATTTTTTTTTACGTATTAATTGCTGGTTGTTTGTTCTATTGATTGTCCGTTAATTGTCGATGCATAAATAATAATTAATCAAAAATGTACTCTCAAAATAGCCCCCTCAATCGAAATTATAATTTTTATTGTTACTAGTAGTCTTTAAATATTCATTAATGTTTGTTTGTTTATAAAGTACGTTTGTTCTATCGTCAAAGTACCTATTTTTTGTTTAATTAACAATATTCATTTAGCTAAAGTATTATTCTTGGGCCAGGTTTGGTCAGCCATTTTTTGTAATCTTTTTAATAATATTTGTCGCGCTTTTTTCAAACGGTACTTATTATCGTGGAGCTCCACCCTAATTTAATGCTTTTCGACGGATACTTTTTTATCACAGAGATAGTTCTCCTTAGGTCTATCCTCCGAACTAACATAGCGACCAATTTACCGAAAGAATTTTTATACTTTAGTACTTAGTAATTTTAATACTTTAGTCATTCATGTTAAATTACAGAATTATTGACATTAAAATATAAATAATGAGGGGTTAAATAGGTATATGTAATAGAGATATTTATATATATTATACGACGGACAAAGTATTTTTACTTTAAATTAATTTTATCTTTTATTTGTAATATAAGAAGCCAAAAAGATAATTTGTTTATTTAGAAATCTAGAAAGTATTAATTTTACTTGTCTATCGTTATAGAAGATAAGTTCACTTTTAGCATTTGTCTATGGGTATTATATATCTTTATCTATCTCAATATTTTTCTTCTGTAATTTAAATGGTTCGTAAAAATGACAGCTAGCTTTGCTATTAGTTAACCTCAAAAATTACAATTTATTTGATTTGATACAACAAAAATAATTTTTTAGTCTAAAAATGGGGTCTAGACAAATAACTGAAAAGTCTCTGGCTATGCTACGATCTTTACCTAGAGTCTCAATTGCAAACATTCGTAACAATCCTGGCTCAAAAAAAAATGTAAGTGTGAATAAAAAAATATATTTTAATTCTGATGCTTGAAATCACCTTGCTAAAGTTTTCATAATTATTTAGCTTCATTTATACATTTTATATCTAATGAATTTTAGTGTTCCTTTACATGAAGCAATACAATATTAAATTTATTTCGTTGTTTTATATTATAATTCAAAAAATAATTTAGAACAAACGAGGTCGTGGTCAACATGGTGGTGATAAACATGGTGCTGGTAACAAAGGGTCAGGTCAACGCCAAAATTACATGAGACTAGGATATGAAACGGGCAATAATCCTTTTTATTTGAGAATGCCCCATGAACCTTATTATAAAGGCCACCAGTAAGTATGTTTATGAACTACTAACTACTTATGAAATAGTAACTACTTACTTATCCTATTTATTTTTATAGATAACAATAAGTGAATGATTTTTTTATAAAAATTGGTAATAATTGCTATTTTTGTTTTTTTCCAGTCTTCGGAGGCAATATCCCCCCTTATCATTATTTGAATTACAAAAATTAATAGACACAAACCGTTTAGACATCACTAAGCCTATAGATATTGCTAGCATTGTAAAATCAGGCCTTTATCATTTCTTCCCTGATCAAAAACACTTTGGTCTTCATTTAACTGATGAAGGAGCAGATATCTTTGCTACAAAAATTAATATAGAAGTTCAGTGGGCCAGTGAACCAGTAATAGCTGCTATAGAAAAAAATGGTGGTGTCATAACTACAGCTTATTATGACCCACACAGTTTATTTCTTCTAAAAAATCCCAAAAAATTCTTTGAATCAGGCCAAGCTATACCAAGACGGATGATACCTCCACCAGATGCAATTGAATATTACACAAGTGCTGAAATGAGAGGCTATTTAGCCGATCCTGAGAAAGTATCACAGGAAAGATTAAAATTGGCACAAAAATATGGATATACATTGCCTAAAATTGAAAGTGATCCAAATTATAACTTGTTATGTGAAAGAAAAGATCCTAGACAAATTTTCTATGGATTGGAGCCTGGATGGGTTGTAAACTTAAAAGACAAATGTATTTTAAAACCTAAAGATGAACAATTATTGCAGTTCTACTCATCATAAGTTACAACTTTATTATATTAGTACACTAATAGAATATGTTCCAAATGTAGATTATTATTTAAAATAAATAAAATTCCCTTATGTATTTGGATGTTTTATTAGTCTGTCAATTTATCACAAATTGTTACTTGAAACAATCATTTGCATAGATTTAATTTTAAACTGTTTACATAAAATTAATTTCTGCATTAGAAAATTCTTGTCAAATCAATATCTGTAATGGTCTGGCTTATAAGGGCCTTCAACTGGAACTCCAATATAGTTGGCTTGTTTGGCAGAGAGTTTTGTAAGTTTAACACCCAAATGATCCAAATGTAATGCAGCTACTTCTTCATCCAGTTTTTTAGGTAATGTGTGTACTCCAATTGGGTAAGTGTTATGTTTGGTCCATAATTCAATCTGAGCTAAGACTTGGTTGGTAAAAGAATTTGACATGACAAATGATGAGTGCCCTGTAGCACAACCTAAATTAACAAGCCTTCCTGCAGCAAGAACAATAATATGGTTACCATTTTCAAGTTCATATCTATCTACCTGAGGTTTGATGTTAACTTTCTTGGCATTCTTGTCTAACCAAGCAACATCCACCTCACAGTCGAAGTGACCAATGTTACAAACAATTGCATCATCTTTCATCTTTATAAAATGCTCTTTGCAAATTATATCAATGTTGCCAGTAGTGGTTACAAATATTTGTCCAATCTCTGAAGCCTCATCCATGGTGGTTACCTGGAAGCCTTCCATAGCTGCTTGGAGTGCATTGATGGGATCTATTTCAGTTACAATAACTCTACCTCCAAAACCTTTGAAAGCTTGAGCACATCCTTTACCCACATCTCCATAACCAGCCACCACACAAACTTTTCCGGCAATCATAATGTCAGTTGCTCTCTTAATTCCATCTAGAAGTGATTCTCTGCATCCATATAAGTTATCAAACTTGCTTTTTGTAACAGAATCGTTAACATTAATAGCGGGTACTTTTAAAATACCTTCACGGAACATTTTGTATAAGTTGTGAACACCTGTTGTAGTTTCTTCCGAGATACCTCTTATACCTTCTAATAGTTCAGGGTGCTTAGTATGAACCAGATTGGTTAAGTCACCTCCATCATCCAAAATCATGTTTAATGGCTGAAAAGAAAGAAAATAAATAAGAACAAGTTACAAAATTTACTTAAGTTTTTTATTATTAAACAAGTATGTATGTTGGTGTTTATTAAAATTATAATGTGAATTTTGGCCTAATACTAAATGTATATACACCATACATTCATACAATTTATATTAGATCTATTTTACCTTTCCATCAGGGAAAATGAGTGTTTGTTCAATACACCACACATATTCCTCCTCTGTTTCCCCCTTCCAAGCATAGATAGGAATTCCAACAGCCACTAACGCAGCTGCTGCTTCATCTTGTGTGCTGTAGATATTGCTGCTTGACCATTGAACCTTAAATTAATATAAATAATTACAATCTTTTATTATATATTTAATAATTAATACAAATAATTATCTAACATTAAATTATTTCTCTGGCTGTAAAAGAATTTTCATTATTTATGAAAATTAAAGAATGATATGATTCTGTTATGTTATTCAAATAACTATTCCGCTTAAATGTAGATATTGTAACAAAGATAAAATATGAACTCTTTAATAAATATCATTATCACTATTACAATAACAGTAATAAATTAACATATTTTTATTGCATCACATGACCCAGAGATCATAGAATACAGATGTGTTCTAGATAACAAATAAAAAAATTTAATTCAATATTGGTTGTTATGTGACATGTTTTTATCTTATCAGTTTTATCTATCAATTTGTTAAAAAGGAAACTTACACATAATATTAAAGTACTTTTGGTTTGCATATTGTATTATTCACAGATCATATTGAAGGATTTCAGTATGATGTTATATAATACTTATGATTAATGTAAACGATTTTTAATTAAATAAAGGAAAACCAACAAATAACTATTGCACAATATTATGTATACTTACTTCAGCTCCCAATTCAATGAGTGTCTCAATAAGCACAGCAGTTTGAACTGTCATGTGTAGGCTTCCTGCAATTCTTGCTCCTTTAAGAATCTTTGCAGCAGCATATTTTCGGCGGCAAGCCATTAATCCAGGCATTTCTTTTTCAGCTAGCATTATTTCTTTGCGTCCAAGCTCTGCCAACTTCTCATCCGCTAAATTAAAAAAAAATTTATAGCATGGTATATATAAAAACATGATTAACAGCCAGAAATAAAAAAAAGTCATCTTTAAAATAGTCAAACATATTTTATGAAATATGATTATTAGATTACGATTAATATTATCAGTAATAATATTCCCTTTATCTTTTAATTATTTGTAAACAAATATATGATAAAGTTGAAATCAAAATAGTCTTAATTTACCATATCTGATTTTTAGGGGGTAGGTAAGGGTTCATCAAAGCTTAAACAGAACATTTAATTTTTTGGCAGTTACCCATAAAAACACGTTAAATTGTTAGAAACATAACCTTAAAATCCAAAAAATTTTTACGTGTAAAACTATGTTTAGATCGATAAATTACATTTATTTTCTTAAAGTTACTATTTTTATTCATGGAAAAATATAAAATTAAAGAATACTTACCGATTTTGTACGGTGGCTTCATTTTAAAATTTATAAGATACTATTACAAAAATTGCACTAAAGAAATTTATTTTAAGACAAAATTATCGTTACTGTTGCAAAATTAAGTTAGTTATCACAATTTATTTTGTGATTTTGTTAAAAAATCACTACGACCGAGTCGGATCGGAACGTGGTTAACTGAATGACAGACAAAGTAAAAAGAACCTCAAGTGTCAAAACTGATGTCAGCTCTCGTGCGTCATATCTATATCTGTACAGATCACAGCATCATTAATATTTAAATTAAAAACAATATTATTATCAGTATTAAATAATATAAAATACCTACTGTTTTATTTCAGTTTAATTTACTTATATATTCTATACTAGCGGCTCACCCTCGCTTCACATCTAGAAAAGCACAGATCTCTCCCACGGGAATCGTTCATTTTTCCGGGATAAAAAGTAACCTTTTGTTTGACCGATAATATAAAGTATCAGCATGCCAAATTTTACTAAATTAGGTGAATGTTCTTGTATACTAAGCTGTATAAGTAACTATAGTTTTTTAACGATATCTATAACTCTTTAGTTTTCCGGGATGAAAAGTATCTAATATGTTGACCGGGGATATAAGATACCACCATGCAAAATTTCATTTAAATCGGTCCAACAGTTTCGGATTAATTAGCCCGTACAAACAGACAAGCAAAAAATTAAAAAAAAACTGGATTTGTTCTATTTCTCTTCTTACATCCCCCTAATTAGGTTTTTACTTTTTAGCATTTTTTTTCTATGTAAAGACATTCGACCTCTACAGTTTTATTATAGCCTATGACACTCAGAAAGAACGTGGCTTTCTATTGGTAAAAGAATTTTGAAAATCGGTTTAGTAGATCCAGAGATTACCCCCTACAACGTCACAAACTCACAAACTTTACCTCTTTATAATATTAGTATAGATGTATAGATTTAAATTGAAAAGAAAGAAATCGTTAAATTCACAATACATAGGTAATTGTTATTACCCGACTGCGCGACGCAAAAGAGGGTAATGTGTTCAGCAGCCTATGTATGAATGTCGGTTTGTAGGTACTAAACGCGTGGGCCGATTTTGATAAATGATACGTCGTTGATTCATCATGACGACGCAAATGTGATAGAAAGCATAAAAATTTGGAAAAATCAAAATGGTCGATTTTGGACGCCATAATGTAAAAAAGAAAAATCGACGAACTATGTCAAGGGGTAACGTTGATTCATCAAAATCCCTCCAGTGGTTTTTCTGTGATGCGGTAACAGACAGACAGACAAAAATTCTAAAAACTATAGATTCGGCTTAGTACAATTTTATTATATGTAGGTATAGATAAAAAAACCCGACAGCATAAAAGCTAACTAAAAAGATAAAACAAGTTCACGAAGGAATATAGTAATAAGCAGTCGGAGACATACATACGAGTATGTACATCTCGCGGCAAGGATGAGACGTCAACCACTATATCACGGTAATGTATTGCATACATTACCGTAACTATGTATACGAGATATTTATATATAGTTTTCATTTCGTTTGCTTAGTATAGTACCTATTTTAATCCATGAGCTTGAAAAGTGCCGTCGCGCATTTTATTAAAAACTTGCTTCTGAATTTTGGCTTCGTTTAAATTAATAAAGAAAATTTGCGAAAAGCGAGGCCGCTATGAACTATATTATTACCATACCATTAACCAAATTCTTAGGTTTTACAGATTAGTATACTCTTACATTGCAGTTTTTGCATTTTTTCTGAGAAATGAGATATTTTATCAAAAACCTTCCAGTGGCTTTTCTGTGATGCGGTAGCAGACAGACAGACAGACAAAAATTCTAAAAACTGTAGATTCAGCCTCTGTATCGATAATAAATGATCATGTTTATTTCAATAAGATTTTCCAAAAAATATTTCATGTACAAATTCGGCTTAGTTACAATTTTATTATATGTATAGCTAACTATTTTCCACTATACAATAAGTCAAAATTGTCAAAGAGTTTCAGTTTCTCTGAACAAGAACGTCAAATATGGGCATTAAATTGAAAAATCACGGTCATGATGTAATAAGCCTCTTAATTTAATCATTTAAAGACTAGTTAGTAGTTTAATGTGAAGAAGCAGAAGCACCCTCCTCGAAATAATTCTGCCGCCACCAACCAACGCTACAAGACCATAGAAAAACACAATTATATTAATTAAACAATATAAGTCTATTTTCTCCTGCAGAATAGATAAATAAATTTAACTTTACCTACTCAACATTCATTTTCTCTTTAATTATAACCTACCTGGGATTCAAACCCCCAACCACAACCAGTTAGTAAGTTCTACAGGGTTATCTTATTAATTATTATCACTAAACTATTCTTAGAGCCATCGGGGTTATCTCGAATTACAGTAGAATAGGTTTGTTATCAATAAAAGGCACTCGTTTAATTTAAAATTGCTTTTAATATCGTAGAACGGTTTACAGGATAGTATTCATGGGCAAAACAAAAGAAAAACGAAAAGATGTAACAAAATAATTTCTTTTAAAATAAAAATTTGTTTCGCGCAGGAAAAGTGGGTGGCATACATCGACTCAATGCCTATGATTCTAATTCAGAACCTTTCATGGCATGGCACTAGTCCTCATACATATTCTCCTATCATCCTTATTATAAGTACACAATATAACAGACTAATGAAAATTATCGATCGGTACGTATAACGAGAACACGTATACGCATTGTGTGAAACACAGCCGTTGGACTCGTGCAAGGCATACGACCGCATGCGTCGTACATCGTACACGGCTCCAACAGTAAACACTCATCTCTTAAAAAATCTTGCATAATTCGCGCAAACATCATCCCTGTCAGTGATGCTCACAGACTAGCAAACACTCAAATTACGAATTAAATTATAACAATTTGTTTTACATTCTGCTCTCATCAAGCTCTTACAGTCCATAAATGCTACAACTACTGTTACTGGAAATAAGTTCGTCGTACAGTATCCGTTACGAATGATATCGCGCGAATGTCTGACATCGACGCGATAAGATATTACCAATCCGATCAAAACTTCGAATGCTTCAAGGCACTGACGTGTAAAATGTAAACAACAGTGGACGAGTAAAACGATCCAAATTAAACAATCGTTGGAATAACAAAATATACAAAATGTTAAACGACTTAGAGAATTTCAATGTTTAAAGGTAAATAACATTACAATAATTTGAGATTCGGACATAATTCTTTATAAGATATCGTTACGACAGAGGAAGCACAATTTTTTTTTATTTTTACAATAATTTAATAATGTCAGTGCTTTAGTTTGGCAAATATTTACGCCAACAAAAAGAACGATGTAAAAGAAAAGAGCTGTTAATTACATATGTACAAACGTGAGCATGAGACCAAAAGGCAAATTGTTTTTTTATTCATCACAAAAATTAACTATAGAAAATACTTCTACTCAATACTTAATTATTGCATTAAAAAATACTGGCATATTAAATAAAATGGATGTGTAAGGTGAAAGAAATATTAAATGCATAGTTTAATTAATTAATATTACAATATCAGAGTTATAGTTATGAATTATGATGAACAAAAAACAAGGCACCAATATGGCGTCCCCCGGTCTCGCTCGCAACTTCGATGGACTCTTATACATTAATACCAATCCTTCGTCAGGGCTGATACATGTCTAAGTTTACAAAATATACTCTCGCACACTCGTCTCCCACTCGTACATCACCATTCACTATACCTTTCATATATCTTACAAAACAATAATAATTTATAAAATTCACAATCCCTTGCATATGTGCATGCCTATAGTAACATACGTCGACTTTCATACAACTCTTTCGCATCTCATAAGTAAAGATACCACAGCCACTGTCTGTATCTATAATACCGAATAGGAAAATGCTTCGATTTTTTTTTATTTAGAATAATATGGAAAGATGGCGAGGCATTACACGAGTATGCGCTAGGTGCAGCGCGAGGGTCGCGGCGTCCCGTCCGGTCGCAGTACACTCATATTATGATGAAACGTTTACGAATCACGATGCATTTATAATACGATAATTCGATTAAATGTCTAAAGCCACATATCACTGCCCAAGTTCTAACAACGAGTGACTCCAACTGGTCACAATTAACTAATTTATTGAGCAAAAAAAATGGAACAATGTATTTCAAATTTAACGATACACGATGAGCTTAGCGCTTAGCGCTCGGTTCAGTTCAAAGGTAATACTAACAAATACGGTTTATAAAAATAATCATTAAATTTGAAATAGATTGGTGCTCTTTTATTTAAAAATTTAACTGTTGTTAGATCTTAAGCTCCAATACAGTTGAGGAACATACATATACGATTATAATATAACACTATGTCTAGTGAAAACGGGCCTGATACCAGAGAGCAAGATTGTACTGAAGTTATCAAGTTGAACATAAAAAAGCATCTTCTAAGGCCCAAAAAATAAATGCACCTAACGACTTACAAATAATGACATGATATGACCTCCCAATAGTATGTTTGAGTTTACCAGCAATATGTTGTTTGAAACTTCGTTACATCACTGTTGTTCCACGATGTTTCAAATCTGCGCAAAGAAATGTTTTTATATGAAACAAATTATTCTAAAAAAACTAACCATATTGTAATGTGTTAATTCGAAATAAGGTATTAAGAGTACAGCAGTAAAAATCAAAACTAATACGGCCGGCCCTTGTTCAAAGGAAAAAACAGAAACATTAGAATTTAAATTGGTCCAGTAGCTCCAAAGATGCAAATTTAACTCTCCATCATATAAACTCTCATATCAGTCTTCATTGTTAATAAGTATTTAATTACTACTATCATATAACTATGAGAGTATCTGGGCGGTGTTTTTCGGAAAATATATAAAAATACGTTTTGTCAGAAAAGACATCTATATAGATAAACTTAAAATGCAAAACCTTATCTAAATACAAATTTTGATGCAAATCGTTAGTCGTTTCCGAGATACGCGAAATAAATTTATATACATATATACAAGAATTGCTCATTTAATATTATAAGATTTTATAAAATATTTAATGAACACGACCATACAGTTATACAAGTGACGGTGTGTGTGTGTGTGTGCGCGTGCGGGAGAGCATACATACAGCCAACAAGAGCTCACCAGCTGGCTACGGGCTGGTGCTTGAGCTTGCGGATCTCCTTGGTGGCCCAGTTGGCGAGCGTCTTGGTGCGCGGCGTGCGGCTGAGGCGCGCCGCCTGCAGCAGGTCCAGCAGCGGGCGCGTCTCCAGCAGCGGCAGCACGCGCGCGCCGAACACCGTGCACAGGTCGCCCGCCAGCCCCGCCACCACCGACATGTGCCCGTCCGTGCGCTCCGGCTCGCTCGCCACCGACGTCATGAAGCTCACGATCGCGCCCACGTGCGGCTCCACCAGCGCCACGTCCGGCTGCACCTGCGTCACAATCGACAGTGTACAGCGAGCGAAACGTCCGGAACCAAAAATCTAAATAAATCCGCGAAAAAATCAGAAAATATTGTGATTGTGATTTTGTGCATTTCTGTATACAAAGTGCACCACGACGGCTTTTGATTTCAAAGGAAACGCTGTTGGCAACATTTAATACATTACATTTAACGTTTAAAGAATTGTCAAAAATATGAATTTTCATGATGAACGGTTTCGATGTTAAAGTGCTGACTGCTGAGATGCTTCTTGTGACCCTTCCTTAGATGATATCAGAGTTATTATTTATCATATATAATATATTAGATACAAAACCAAATTAATGTACCTATAATTATGGCCTTACCTCACTACCCGAGCCTTTCAGTCCTTGAATAATCCCTGTGTACGCCTCCAGAACACTTTCACGTAATTCACCTAAGTATTCCACCATGTCGTAATCATTACGGTCTACTTGTGCATTGCTGGCCTGTACAAAATAAAATAAAATAATTTTTTTATAAGTATAACTTATAAAATACTTACAACAGAAAATGCCTAACCAGATAATAGATAAAATTACAAACCTGCAGCAACATTGCCATGACTACATCAAAATATTTCTTAAAGTCTGGACCAATACTTAGCGCAATATCACCAAACACGGAAAGAATTTGCGGTTTCACTGAGCGATGGATAGACGGGTCTCCGAGATTCTCTAATAAGAGTAATATTATTTCATCACAATATGGCAGCACCTGTAAAAATATATAAACATATTAATATGGTAATGATATCTTTATAGTTATGGTATAAACATAAATTAGTGTTAGATAATCAGATATAAAAATGTGGCTATCAACGTACCTTACTCTTTAGAGCACGGCAGATGTCACCCGTGACACCCACAGCCGCTATGCAAACTTGGTATTCCTGATGATTTTTAAGTCCAACATAAAGGTATTGTTTGAATGCATCCATATATTTAAGGAAACCTTCTCCTAACACTTCAACAAGTGTAGAGACTGCCATTAAAGCGTCTTCTTGGACACCACCAGCCTTGCCCGCGTTGCCCGCGAACATGGTCAAAAGTGCCGTCATGATTGCGTCCGAGATTTGAGGGGCATCTTCTGGAGTCACTTTCCTTAGAACAGACTGTAAAGTCGCGCAAAGAAGGCTCTGGAGGTCATTGAACTGAGACCGGTCCGCCTGACTAGAGATAATGCTCTCCATTTGCAAAACTTGCTGCAACCGTTCTAATATGACCATTGTCGTTTTCTGTACTGTTACATAGCAGTCTGTGGGTGAGTTCTTTACCATCTCCATAAGAGCCTCATATGCGGCTGACCTAAGGTTATGTTGAGCTGCGTCTTGACGATCTGTAGTTTCTAGAAGACGTTGGACGATGTAATCGAAGTATGTGGACATGCAGTACGTTTTTGGTTGTTCCGAGTCACCACAGTCAGCCGTTTCATATGCGGCTTCGGCAAGGCCGGTGAAGGCCCAGCATACATTTGCAGCAACACGAGGCTCGGCCTTCAAGCCATTCATCAATGATTCTAATAGAGGTTGTAGATATGTCTCATTAATGGCAGCCTCTGGTACGATTTCGCAAATTCTACCAAATGTCCAGGCGGCTGTATCTCTTACGGCCACGCTTGAGTCGTACATAGCTTGTATGAGAGTAGGCATTGCTTCTTCTACTAGAGGTACTAAAGTGGTTGTTTCTAGACCACCTAAGACAGAACCGAAAGCCATGAGAGCAGCTTCTCTAAACCTCCAGTTGTCGCTCTTTATATTAGTACGAATAAATGGTAAGACATGGGGAACAATTTCATCTTCGCAGCAGTTTGATAAAAGCATCAAACATACTGAAGCAGCTTTTGACGGGTTCCATTCAAGCTCATCATCTGAATCATCTTGTTTGGTCAGTTTCTGCATTAAAACTGGTGCAATATACTGTAAAGCACCTCTGGCATAGAATCGTGATGTTCTTACTGGTGGGCGGCCTGACATAAAAAAATAAAATAATGAAAACAAGTTCAAACTTCATTATAGACTAAAATAATACTAGTTATAAAAACAAATTTAACTTTAAGGTTTTACAGTACCTGCTTCAGTTGCCTCTGCCATCTCAATAGCTAAATCTATTTCTTCATCACTGACATTGGACCAAAATTCAATTCCTTGGAGTGAAATTTCATCCACATCAGATTTCATTGCCTCTAGAGTAATAGGGAATAGAGCTTGACCCATATACGGTTCCATATATTGGTAATACAATGATAAAATTTTTACCTGAAAAAATAGTAAAAAACAATTTGAATTTAATAATAATTTATTAAGCTTTTATTATACAAATCTATCTTGATTTATAATGCCTCAAAAAGACTGAGAAGAATTTTTTTTGCTGTACAGGTAATAATGAAAGAAATAGTTTCACTCTAATTCATCAAGTAGACCAAAAGGTTGGCTTATAAAAAAAAACATTGCTTTGAGTTACTTTGGTTACTTTGATTTTTCTACAATCAATTATGAAATTTGGGGACACAACAATAAATATTTAAATAAGTTGTAATGAAAACTGAGGCTAAAGTCCCGCGGCTAGTGCAGCTGTAGGCAGCCACTTGAGTTTTTTATTTTCCCCTAATATAAAATAATGTAATGGAAATGATATAAATTTTCACAGTTATTGAACAAAAGAAAGCTAATGGAGAGGCAGTAAAATTTTCGCTTCATACACAAATTATATATCATTGTCACATATGTATATAAACTCTTTTCAAAAATATGTATATCACTTCACCTATGTGATTCAAACATATAACTTGCGTCATCTAAAAAGAACGCAGGCTGTTAAGCTGCGCAGAAGCGATTTATCGGTCAAATTGGTGGTAAGAAGCGGCGCGCGGGGCGACGCGTGGCGGCGGGGCACGCGCCGCATGCTTGCCGGCGCGCTATTGGTTCGTCAGTTCGAAATACCATCGCGCACACAAAAGTTTTTAATTACGAAATGGTTTTATATATAGAAAAGAGAGAAAAAATATTTTGGACGTATATTGTTTTATAAAGAGAGAGTCTGATAAACACAGTTATATGATGCAGTTAATAATTAAAAAAATGTATTAAACATATTAATTATTTTTTTTGTAAGTAGATTAAACATTCTACACTGATTCAAACATATCTTAATAATAAATAGAATTCTAATTAATGATATTCTACATAATATATTTTTCAATGTATGTACAACTCGCGTCATGTAAAACGAACGAAGAATTGGTGGTAAAAGGTGCGGCAGCAGTTTTTATATATAAAGATTAAAACACTTTACACTGAAACAAACATGTTTTTAATGCTATTTAATGACAAAGGATGATGATTCTATTTAAAATAAAATAAAAAAATAATATTTTTATATAACAAATATTTTTCAATGTCCTACCAACTAATATATGAAGCCGCGAGCGAAATGCTATGAAAAATAAAATAATAGGCTTAGTACTTTTGTGCGCGAGTACACCCATGCGTAAACATACCCCCTCCACTTTCTTCCAGCGTTCTTTTTAGATGACGCGAGTTATAAGATCTTTTATCCAAGTTATGCACTTCGAAGATATGAAGCAAAACATACACATTCTCAGTAAAGCTCTATATACATTTGACATATAATTTATCAATAAAAAATATTTTACTAGTTACTAAAGTAGTGAAAACATTTACTTACTAAACATTGAAGAGCTGCTACACTTATTCTCATATCAGTAGACTGTGTTGCTTCACATACTACCTCCATTATAAAATTTCTCTCATTTTCTTTATCAAAATTAGCTTTAGTGAATTCAAGAGAATTTAGTAGGGCTTGTGTGGCAGCCAGTCGGACATGGTTACTGGGTTCAGTTGATCTCATACCATGAATAATAGCAGTTAATATACGATTACTTTGTTCTGTTAGTACTTCTGCATCTATCTCCTGACAAATATAACCTGTCAAAATATTATTAGGGAGTATAATATTTATCACTACATATATCCTTTATAATAAATTTCATAAAATGAAATAGTCTACTCTAAACAAATTTGGGTTTTTATAAACTTTAAATGATTCTTTTTTATATCTAATTAGAAGTTCATTACCCTCTTATCTCAGTTGATCAGAATTCTTGATTGATATGAAGTGTCCAATCTATAGTTTAATATAATTTTACTCAAAAAAATATAATTCTAATTGTCTTATAAGATTAATAAGTGAAAATTCTTCTTTTTACTTAATACAAATAATGCAAAAAAAGGTCAGTTTTTAGCAAATTCACTCACCAATAGCCTCTAAACTTGCTTCTCTCTTTAATTCTGTTGATTGAGCATTGACAACATTTTCAACTAACATAGGGATTAGGTCATTCCACTGGCCCTCAGCGAGTTCTGCTACTGCTACATATGCTACACACTGAGCTGCAGAACTGGGTCTGCTGTTTTCTGTTCCAATTGCTGTTAATATCTAAAAAATGTTATAATATTGTAGTATTATATTATTTTTGATATTTTAATTTATTGTAATGATAAATTATATGTTACATATATTAATATCTCATTAAAAAATCGAAACTTAATTTTCTAGAACATTTAAAGTAATATTAGTTTTATTATTAAAATATTAAATAAAACAATGAACTTGTAAATGAGAGAAAAAATATAACTACATTTTTTTTAATATAAAGTCTAATATCTTCAGGTAGGGCAAGCCATCTTTGCTGGTATTGAAGCTTCAGTGCAGGGTCTTTGGATGTGAGATGGTTTTTCAGCTGCAGTCCTGCTGCCATTCGAGCCACTTGACTGTTACCCCCTTGCACCAGCACATCTGAGAGCATCTTGATAAAGGTTGTAAAATTAGTAGCAGCTGCATGGTCAAGGTATTTTTCAGCTGCTTCCAATTCATTTCGATCTGTAATAAATTAAAATGTTTTTACAATAAGGAACATGTTTTAAATGACTTGTAAGATACAGAGAACACATGGTAAGGTTATTTTTTATATAAGGATAAGAATAACTCAACTGCAGGCATATTATACCCATCATTGCATTTTATAAAAATATATAAGTAAATAAATTACTAATGTACAATGTAACGTACGAGAAACTTCTTTACGTGACAGGCAGGTAAAATATTACGTTAATATCTCGTTAAGTTAGATTTTTACAAGCCTAAAATCTTATTATTAGTAAAAGAAAAGTTCTAATTGACGCATGATGGCTTCCTCATATTGTAATCTTCGTTCAACCTCCTATTAGTGATAATCATATGTGCTACGTACTGTAAAAGTCAGTTGACAATAAAGAAGCGCCATGCTCATAGAATTATAGAAAGCGTTGCATACCTGGTGATATAGTTTTTTCTAATATTTGTATGAGCGTTAACGTCGTTTCCGTCAGCATTTTGTTACACTGTATTCTAGCTCAACTTATAACTATCTTGATATTTAATAACCGAAGAAAAATTGGTAACCGGCACACGACGAACGACACTCACAAATTTCACAAAATGACCACAGATAATCTTTATTTTTTTAAAAAGATACGGCGTGAGTAGTTAATTTAAAGTCTAGCACACACAAGTTTGGTTCTCCATCGATTTTTCTATACTCTAATATTATAAAAAGGTATGGTTTGTGAATTGTGAGTTTGTGAGTTTGTAAGTTTGTGACGTTATAGAGGGTAAATTTGGTAAGTAGGTAGTTTGAGATCCTGGGAAGGACATAGGATACTTTTTATCCCGGAAATCATCCCTTAAGGGGGTGAAAACGGGAATAAAAGTTTGTATGGGAAATGAACCTAGGGACGAACCCGAGCGAAGCGAGGGTGAGTCGGTAGTCTCCAATAAAAACATCTCATATAATATAGGCTTCGGTCAAATATACAACATCAGATTAATCTTGCCATTTAGTTTTCCGCAATAGATTTTTATTTATTGTTCATCACACATCAATGTGTGGTGAATAATTAGATAGAAAATTCATATGCGCTGTGATCATCATTATGTAAATAGTACTACAAAACTGTTGTCGTTAGTTCTGCCAAGCACCTTAGCGAGGCCGTCATCTCACTGAAGGAGACGGCGGAGAGGGAACGCGAGGCTAACGCCTTAGCAGACCCTCTTCGTCGCCGTCGGCTGGGGGAGTGGAGGCGCCGGTATGCGCATCTTCTCCCGCCACTCTAGAGCAGCTACTGCGGGGGGGTCTCTCGTTGACTCCCCTGCACGTCATGGGGGCGGTCGGGATGCTCTGTGAATCGAGGGCATCCCGGTTTAGGCGAGGCAGGCCCGCGGGGTACGGGCTGTCCGCAGGGGTGTTGTAGTGAATGCGCAAGCGATCCTGCACACCCCATTGCACTGCGGCGACGGGTTCCGCTGTGGGTTTTAGTGAGTAGGAGTCTCACAGTACCCTACCCATTGACGGCCGGTAGGGTCCCCATGATGGGTTTCCCCAGCGATAACAAAAAAAAAGCACCTAGACAAATCTTATTATCATTTAAAACTTATATATATTAAACACAATTAAAATAAGCTTTTTGCCTACCCCACTATTTGTGTACAGTATGTCAGTTATCATGTGTATTAAAACATTAACATGATGCGTAGAGTAATAATATCGATGTAGTCAGCTAAGCTTATCGAGAGGTATGCACCAAACCTGAACGGAAAAAAGTAATTTCATATTAACATTAACTATTTGAATGTTTCACCTAATTTTCGAGATATCAACAAAATCTATCAACTTGAGACATTGTGTTAATATGGTTAACATTTTATATTTATTTTTTTCTGAATTTTGGTATGATCCTTTATTATTATTATGCATAAATGCAATTACTTGTGATTCTTTCCGTTTTGAAATTTTATGTTGAGTTCTTGTATACGTTGATATATAATATAACAAAGTAACATAAACCATAGATGAATAATAAATACGTATACTTACAAACATGGATGACAAATAAAGTTTACAAAGAGTAAAAATGTACTTTATGGTATTATTTTGACATATCGTTATTATCTGTGGAAGTGTGTTTCTTTTTCATGTTGACGGGGGTTCTTCGTGAACGTTGAGCCGATAAAATTTATCAAAATGGTACATAAATCTGTAAATTGCAAAGAAATCACTAAACTAAATTATAATTTAATTATGGAACATTGTTATAGTATTTATTTTTGTGATATTTAAGTGTGTATTTAGTTGCAAATAATAAACAAAGTGTTTTTTTCAGTCGCTCGTAATCCCAGACAAGTTTCAACATATTCTTCGTATTATGAATACGAATATTGATGGCAAACGTAAAGTTATGTTTGCCATGACTGCGATTAAAGGAGTTGGTCGCAGATACTCTAATATTGTATTGAAAAAAGCCGACATTGACTTGGACAAACGTGCCGGAGAATGCACTGAAGAAGAGGTAATTGTAAAATATTTGTTTTAACAAAATTCAATAATAAGTATTTAAATGCTACTAATATGGAACATAGATTTTTACTGTACAGTAAATTCTAAACTTGAAATTTATTACGTTTTGTATATTACAAATTATTATGAAAATAATATATAAAAGTAGAATTCTATTAATATTTTATCCTCTATCTGATTTAAAATAAACTTTTTCTAATAAACATTGTATAATTTACAGGTAGAGAAAATTATTACGATCATGTCAAATCCCAGGCAATACAAGATCCCTGATTGGTTCCTTAACAGGCAAAAGGATATAGTTGACGGAAAATACAGCCAACTGACTTCCTCTAACTTGGATTCAAAACTTCGTGAAGATTTAGAAAGATTGAAAAAGATCCGTGCCCATAGAGGTATGCGTCACTACTGGGGCCTCAGAGTGCGTGGTCAACACACTAAGACTACTGGCAGACGTGGAAGAACTGTTGGTGTGTCTAAGAAGAAGTAATCTGTATAATAAATAATTTTATTTCCAAGGAAATGTTTTATTTTTAGTTTTAATATTAGATATTCAGTATTTTGATGAAACATAATTTTTTCCATTTAGGTACTAAGAATAAAATGAAGCTTAAAAACATATTAAGTTATTTGAAATATGGGTTGAACTGTGTATAAAAAAGTAAGTAATACACAAAACCTATTTTAAGACTATAATACAGCTGATGTCTTAATACTTATAAAAGAAATAAATAAAAGGCAATATAATATTAAAACTATATTGGATTTTTACTTTGAATCTAAAATAATTTATAATATTAACCTAACCTATGTTTTAATAAGTACAAATGATAAATATGTATTTTATCTATAGATGTCTTTGAAAAATAAATAGAAATTACATATTTTTTTTTTAATTCAATTTAGATTACTTATAAATAGGAGTTATGGAAACAACTGTATGGGTTGTGTGATGTTATAATGTTAAACTAATAAAATACACTATAAAATTGCTATGTACAATTTTAATTATAATAAAACATTATTCATATTGTGCAATAATCACCATCATGTATACACCAGCTAAAAGAGCAAGTATTTCTTTGATTGATTGTGAAAATTTATTAGATCCCTCTAAGAGCTCTGGAATAACAGACACTGTTGCAATGTAAATGAAGCCTCCAGCTGTAAATGGTAGGATGAAACTTGAAACTACTCCATCTCCTGAACCCTGTAAATATATTGATAAGAAAGTGCCAGATATAGCTCCAAAAGCTGTTAAAAGTTGCAGCATCATAGCCTTTCTACGAGAACATCCTGATTGCACAAGTATGGCAAAATCTCCTATTTCATGAGGGATTTCATGTAATAAAATTGTAATAGTAGTTATAAGACCAATGTTCTGTCCAGCAATATATGAGGCACCAATTGCTAATCCATCAGTAAAGTTGTGGGTAAAATCCGCAGCAAGATTCAAGTATCCAGCTATTTTAATTTCTTCTTTTTTATTTTTACCAGATTTCTTGGATTTATCTTCATGCTTCTTTTTGTCTGTGCTATGAGAATGTCCATGTCCACTGCTAAACAGTCTTACAGTTTTTTCCACAACAAGAAACGTAATTATACCTCCAAGTACACCTAATCCCACAGTCATATCATGGGGTTCATGTTGGTCTTCGCCATGAGAGTGACTATGACTGTGACTGTGACCTCCACCATTAGAAGGTAAAAGAGCATGAGGAATTAAATGTAAGAATGCATCTCCAAGAAGACCGCCAGAAGCAAATGACAATAAAACTTTTAAAAGGGGCTGTTTTTCAACAGTGCCATCAATAGGAATAAAGAAGAGAATGAAAAAAGGAATTACACTTATAAAAACAGTAGAACCAAGAGCTTTCACATATAAATCATAATTTGAATCAGGCGTATTTTCTTGTTTTCCACTGTGTTGTTCATTTGCAGATTTGCTATATTTGTATACTGGCGATTCTTCTTCATGAGAATGTGAATGGGAATGTCCAAGCACACTGGTCATTAGCACAGCTGTAACTATACAAATAACTATTTTCCGTAACTTGTACATTATTGGTTATTAAAAATATCTCTAACGCATTAAAAATATTTTTTGAAGCTTTAACTTTCGTGCCGATAACAAAGCTTCAATGTCATTGAACTCCAAAATCTGACGTGATAGACAGTTGACGTGCATGCTAGATCATCGATTATGTAGAGTTACCAGAGTTAAAAAATATTCTTTTTTTTTTAAATTGTGTAGGGTGTACAGCATCTGTATACAGCAAGAAGGGAGAGTTTGCGGCTTAATAGAAAATTCACAGAGTAAAGTGACATATCTAGAATTACTTAGATAATACTATAGTACATACCAACTGCTCCGTTGGCCCAGTGGTTAGTATAGAATATATCTTTATTGACACAATTCTTAAAGGTTAGGTATGTATGAGTGCGTATTCGGATGTCCTGGGTTCGAATCCCAGGTCGGCCCGTGTTTAGTTATTGAGTTTTTATGTTAAGGAATTCTCAGTACACTCGTGTCACACCCGTGCCTCGAAGAGCACTGACGGTCCTGCGCCTAAACTTACATCGGTTGTGTCGAAATATAATACTACTACTACAATTTCATCCATGGACCCGCGGATAAGCTCGTGATGAAATTGTTGTCTTGCTGCTAGGTTTCGCGTGCGTCGGTGACGAAATTGTCATGTCTTGTTTGTGCGCCAAAGTACAGCTGTAATTGGAAAACAGGGTCAATTCAAGTGACACTGTCAAACGTCTTTTCAAGATCATCAAAGCACGAAAGTATTAGCTGACCTGGTTCCCTGCTCTTCCCCGATTGCTGATGAACTGAGAAGATTGCTGCACTTTTCTCCGCATCTGGTTGGATGCCAAAAATGGTATCGGAAACATTGATGAGTTAGTACTTAGTTCAAAAGGATTTTGACGACGTGAGATAATAAAACTTATCCCATACCAGAAAGGTAGGGGTCCGATTAAAATAATATTCACCTCAAATTATAATGTACGACTAGTGCGTGCTCTCTTATTGCAAACTTCTAGTAATATATAGTCCAACCTTATGTAGCCGTATATACTGTAAAGGATATATTCATGTCTACTTACTACTAGCGACTTACCCTCGTTTATATGCGTCCCTAGGTACGTTTTAACTTTTTCAGCGGAACCCCAATGTTTTTTAAAATTAAATTAGCCCAAGTTACTCCTTATAACATCAGCTAGCTGCTACTAAAAGTACCGTCAAAATCAATCCAACCATTTCGGAGGTTAGCCATAACAACAGACATACAGACAAAAATTTAAAAAATCGTGTATTTCTTTTAAATACCGTAAATTTGATATGCATTTAGTAAAAAGCTGTTGTTTTGACATTACAAACAGACATTTCAATTTTATTTATCTATAATATAAATTATACTAGAGTGTAAAGTATTTCTAATGACTCTGTGGTTAACAAGAAAGCTGAAAGTTGACAATTGACATTGATGACAGACTGAGTCACTGAAATTTGTGGGTAGTTAATACTGGAATTGTGTATTTAGTGTTTGTTATTGTATAATATTAAAAAATAAGTATAAATTGATAAAAATATGGTTTTCAATTTATACAAAACATTGCTAAGAATGAGATATACTGTAAAATAATTTTTAAACTTTTTCTCAGTGGTATTTCTTATTAATTAGAATCAAAGAACAATCAGTGATCTATTTCTTTGTGTGAGTTATAGTATATTACCGATAAAGGAAAATTTATCATTAATAATAGATTACTTATAAATTATTTAATAATATGATAGTTATATATAAAATAAAGCAATATTGTATAGATTACTGTCATAATGTAGACATTATTCCTAGCTATCAAATATCAAACTTAAATTCTTTAGTACTTTAACTTTAGTTGATGATGATCATATTGGTTTGTAGCAAAATGGAGAACGCTGAATCAAGTGGTAGTTCAAGATTAATTCAACAAGCACCTACATCTATGTGCCATCCATCACATAAAGTGCACAGATTTGTAGCTTTAATATTGATGTGTTTTCTTTGTTTTGGTAAGTACATTGTATTAAATGTAGTAACTGCTTAAAATACATTCAGAGGATTTTTAAAATAAATGTATGATAAGTTAAATAAACAGAAACAATAGTATATAAATAATTAGTATGTTTATTTCAGGTTCCTATTTTTGTTACGATACACCCGGAGCTCTGGCTGATAACTTTAAAGGTGATTCACACTTGAATACATCACAGTTTGCATTGTTATACTCTATATACTCATGGCCAAATGTAATATTATGCTTCATTGGTGGTTATCTAATTGATAGGTATGTGTTAGTTTTATAAATTAAATTATTAGCGTTGTGATAAAGTGTCATATTTAAATATATACAAGATGTAATATTTAATTCTTGCATGAATAATAAATATTTATACTGTTTTTATGGGTCTCTTATAAAAGTATTATTTTTATAGTTGTGGAATTGATTAAAAAATTAGATAATGTTGTAGAAATATCAACTAAGAAAAATTATGAAAATCAAATTCTATTTTATGGAAATTAAAGCAAATTAGAAAAGCAAAAATATTGGAGGATCTTATATGTCTTAATATTCAACTAAACAAATTGGAAAAAAGATATAGAAATAATTTTTCTAATTCGCAAATCGCAAATATGTATTTGCTATTTTGTTATAACATGGTTTTTATTTTGAAAATACAAATGTATCATATAATTTTTATTGTCTCTAAATATTAAGTTTTACTTTATCACTTATCCTCATTTATTTCAGATGTTTCGGTGTAAGATTAGGCACAATTATATATATGACTATTGTATTTATTGGCGCAGTCGTTTTTGCTTTAGGAGTCTATATAAATGCATTTTGGCTAATGATACTTGGAAGATTTATTTTTGGGTGAGTTATCATTATACAATTTAAAGCTAAACAAGATATATACCATAATTATGATTTAAGTTTCTTTTTTAACATTTGGAAATGCATTTGGCCATACCATCTGTGAAGCCAGTACTACCCACTAAAACCCCGCCCGTTTTAATGGGGCGTCGCAGGATCCCTTAAGCACTCAACCACGACACCCCAACACCCATGGGGTTGCTCCTATGGTCTTCTCTGCTGTCAGAGAATTACGAGGAGCAACCCGCATGGGTAACCGCCCACCGAGGTTGGCAACCTCCCAGTGTGTTTCTTGGCTTCGCATCTGGCTAGATACCTGGACGCTAATGAGACCCCCACCATGATAAAGTGAATGCACATTGAGGGATGATTTAACAAGTCCTTAACAATAATATATGAGTGTCTTGTTCTACATTAATAACACTAATTAATTACACTTCTCACTATCATAAATTTATGTTTTGATTTATAATTTATTATTGTACCGTAATTGTTTTCAGTATTGGTGGAGAGTCATTGCAAGTTGCAGTCAACAATTATGTCGTGCTATGGTTTAATGGAAAGGAGCTAAACATGGTCTTCGGGCTACAGTTATCATTCTCCAGATTTGGCAGTACTGTAAACTTCTGGGTGATGGAACCTATTTACAGATGGGTAGCCAACTATTATGGTGGCTATGAAAAGCTTGGTGTTGCTCTATTTATAGGTTTAAAATTTTTTTTTTTTTAGAAGTAAGTAGTAAGTAAACAATAGAGACTGAATAGGTAATTTCAATACTCCTGCTTATAAAGACCAAGAATGGTAAAGTTTTTGATCATAATTCAGATTGTGTCAATTATTAATTGAATTAAAGAAAAAGAATTAAGCTTGGCATAGTAGGTAGTGCTATATATAAAAGTGTTATTATTTGTTTGTTACTTATGGGTACAAAACTAGTTTTTTATAAATTTAAGCACAAATATGCATTACAGAAAAAGACATTGGCTACTTTTTATTACAGAAAAAAACGGTTCTTACAAGATAGACAGTTAATTGTTTTATGAAAATGTAAAAAAGATATATCTATAAATTACATAGTGATATTACTTAAATATCGAAGAAAAAATAAAGAAATGACCTTGATATGGTATTGATAATATTTGAATTAATAATAAATTAAAATTTACTGAAAATTGAGTACAACACAGTTAAGGTCTATATATTTTAGTGATTAGGGTCTATATTTCTGCAAGTGATAGTCTCGTCAAGATCGGTCCATTTCAGAGATTAACCAGAACAAACAGACAGATAAACAAAAATTTTATACATTGTTTTTTCTTATAAGTGTCTTATTCATTTAGAAAAAGCTGTTATTATGTCATTACAAACAGACACTTCAATTTTATTTATTTGTTCTAGATTTTATGCTATATTTTCGTTTCAGCCTCGATGACGTGCTTGGGATCTCTCATATGTGGGGTTATATTGGGGTGGATGGATCATAGAGCAGAGAGGATATTGAACAGGCAAGAGGAACAGGCCAAGGATGAACCATTCCATCTACTGGATGTATTACATTTCAAACCCGTTTTCTGGCTTGTGTCTCTTATTTGTGTGGCATACTACTTGGCTATATTCCCCTTTATTGCTTTGGGAAAGTAAGTTCAGTTATTATATTATTACTAGCAGGACCCGCGGCTTTGCCTGCGTTCAATCTGCAAAAAAAACTCTGGTTTAATGTTATACAGCGATATTGTTCATAAAAAATACTAAAATCACGATTAAAAAATGGGGGTGGGGGTGGGTGGTTGAAAAATACTTATATTTACCAAATATATAAAAAAATATAGTGCGACCGCAAACACCCTGACACAAGATCTTATATATTAGATAAATACAAATTATGGTTTTTAAATAAACAAACTTTTAAACAAATGTTTTTATATATTTATATATATTATCGTTTGTTCTAGACTGTTCTATGAAAGAAAATTTGACTTTGTACCACAAGACGCAAATACTGTTAACTCAATGGTATATCTGTTATCGGCTGCATTGAGTCCGTTTTTCGGTATTCTTATAGACAAGACTGGAAGGAATGTCACTTGGGTTATTCTAAGTATAATCACTACTATTGGATCTCATTTTCTACTCGCTTTTACTTTTGTCAATCCATATGTAGGTGTGGTGAGTATATTTTTATTATTGTAATTATACTTTTGGCATGTTTGGAAAAAAATATGAGAGTAAAATTTTTACGATGAGCGCGCACACCGACAGCCAACAAGCGACATGATGAAGTTAGTTGTGTAGGCACAAATAAATACATACACAAATATATACACACATCCTTTTTTATTTTTCTGTTTCTATTAAAACTTCATTCACTTTTTTTAAATTACGTTTGTGACAGAATTTGCAAAAAATAAAAATAGTGACATTAAAAGGCGTTCAATAAAATGCATGATTTTTATTTCCTAATTTCAATAAATAAATTTAAATAATCAAATAACGCTGCAACGGCCATATTGGTAACGCCCGACGTGATGATATGGCCGTTGCAGAGTTATTTAAAAAACGTTAATAAAAAGTCTTAATAGAAACGGAAAAATAAAAAAGGATATTTGTGTATGTATTTATTTGTGCCTACAGCTGCATTCCTTTTACAAACAGAGAGTTGTGACATACGGGATGAAATCTTTAGCTATTTTTGTTCTGTTACGCCAAAGAAGTATAACTTCTTACGTGCGTACATAAGTAGGTACACACACACGTTTTTTTTTTCAAATTTAATACTTTTCCAAATTTTTAATTTATAAAAAAAGTATGGGAAAAGTGTTTAGTATTTTGTATTAATACTCGTAAATAATACTCTATTGAAAGACTAATTTTGTTTTAGATATCATTGGGAATATCGTATTCATTGCTAGCGAGTGGTTTGTGGCCACTAGTTGCAATGATTGTTCCGGAAAACCAATTGGGCACTGCTTTTGGAATGTAAGTTTACATCATCATGATCATCAGATTATGAAGTTTCTATTAGCCGTATTATCACACTATAAAAATTCATATATAAGACGATCCTTTTAACGGAAATACAGTGCTATCTCGTTGCAACCCTAAAGCACTTTTACCCACTTTTATAAAAAAATATGTATGACAGTCGGGTGCGCCAACTGCGTTTTTCCGCACATCCCACACGATTGTTCTCTATATGCCTTTGTTAGAGCTCTACTTGTATTAGTAATAATTTCTGTATAAATTGAAAAAAAATAATTTTTTTTTGTAGTAAACAATAAATATATAATGGAATGGCCACTTATATAGATAAGAAATTAATTTTGTGTTAATTTTTCAGCTGTCAAGCTGTACAGAACCTAGGACTGGCCACTGTTATTATTTTCGCCGGCATGATTGTGGATAAATATGGATACTTGATGTTGGAAATGTTTTTCCTTGGGTGTCTTTTTGGTGAGAATAACGACGAGTTTTCGGAATAAAAATTGGAAATAAAAATATTTTCTAACGTTTTATTCTTTTTCAGTGTCGTTAATAGCAGCAGTTCTTATTTATATCCTGGACTCTGCGAACAACGGCGTTCTCAACCTCTCGCCAAGTAAGCGAGAAGCTTTAAAGACGTAAGTGTAAATTTTATTATTATCTTTTGTTTTCTGTAATTAATTTACAATTGTTCTTACAGTTTCGGAGATTAGCCTGTACAAACAGACAAACAGACAGAGAAACAGAAAATTTGAAAAAAAAACCGGATTTGTTCTATTTCTCTTCTTACATCCCCCTGACTCGGTTTTTAGCATTTTTTTTCTATGTACAGACATTCGACCTCTACAGTTTTATTAAATGTATAGATAGAATAAATAACGTATAATAAAACAGTAATATATAATAATGAAAAAAGTTATAGCGAGTGTACCTTAGGAGATAGACACTATTGAGAATTGAGAATATGTTCGTACGTGTTTATATTTAGAATACCTTCCTTTTTAAAGAAGCATAAAAACACAATATTTGGGATATACATAATTGAGTGAAAACAAACAACTTATGATAGACCTGAACTTAAACGCCAACGAATTTTGTTTATAAAATCGGTACAGGAACTCGACAGTTGTTCTTTTAAATATTAACAAGAAAGTTTAAATAAAATTAGTTTTTAACCCTTAAATCTTATAATAGAACATACTACAACATTATAAACCTAATTGTTTTTATGTCTAAAACTGGAAACTCACAAAATGATTCTATTGCAGACAAATTGCCAGAACAGATGAGACGGCGAACCTTCTAGAACACGCAGACAGTTCCGGGTCGGAGCAGGAGGACGTGGACGCCGGGAGCTCCCCGTCGGCGCGGGAGTCCCCGCGCGCGCACTCCGACCGCATCCGCTCGCGGTACATCGCGCAGATACTGCCCGCCACCGTCCCGGACAGGCCGTAGGCCTTCTCCCGGTACGAAACACGTAGGATACAATACTCAAGTCGCATTGTTCGCACACTACGCTACTTAAAATTAACAAAATGCTTCATTTGTTTTGTGCTTTTTTAATGAAAGGACGAATTTTTTCGAGATGCGTAGGAGACGCGACACGCGGACGACCAGCAGGCGGGTCGCGGACGTGTACGGTAGCGTAGTGTGCGAGCACCGACACAAATGTAGGTATGTGCGATACTCCGGGGCGATTAGTCTCCGGGACTCGCAAGATACTAGAGTCGCCTGGGCGTATCGTAATGGGAGAAGGGCCGTAGGCGTGCGTGTGTCACACGTTTTACTTGTATGTGACATCTATTTTATATTAAGGTGTCTGCCCATTACATCGTCTCGTACCTGACCGTGTCAGGCAAAAAAATATTCTTTGTATTGAAAAGTATGAGACTATGACCACTAGACTGTTCCCGCACCGACCGGCACATTCGCGTGCCGTGCACGCAACGGTAACAATTGTCGGCGAGAATATTTTGCCGGTGCCGATACGCTCCGTGCTTGGCACGCGACGTCGCGGGACATGTGCACACAGGCGGCGCAATGGTGAGCATACACAGCACTAAAACCGTTTTGTACGGGTATGATACGCTTTTGATACGTTCTAGTGGGCATAGTAGTCCGTGCCATGCTCGTTTCCGTGCCTGATACCTTCATAGCACGGTCATGGTATGAGACAGTGTAGTGGGCAGACTCCTTTATTTATAAATGCCATGCGAGTTGTAAGTACTTACTTGTAACTGGACAGTAGTATATGCATAATGCACATGAGTAATATACCTATAAAATATACCTATACAGACAAAGCTTCATGGAAACGATACACTTTTATAAGGCGGTGGTGTGCGCGTTTTTTTTGACACGTTAGTGTTGATATTGTTTGTCAACAGCTCGAGTCGGAAATAAATGGTTTTGTCAACGTGTAGCGTGTACATTAACTCGTCGGTTAGTTGTCACACACACAACGTTGAACGGTTGTATGAAGCTTTACCTGTGTAGGACACTTACACTTACACTTGTGGTAGATGGAAGTGAGAGTGAATTTACAGTAATGGTGGAGTGCTCACTGAAAATTACATTAAACAGATGTTAAAATAGTCGGCCACAAAAATGTGTATTTTTTTCTGTCTAAAGATTATTTCTAAAGTCTATTAATTTTCAAGATTGACAAGATTGTCTAAAGATTATTAATTTTCAAGGGAAAATACTTTGGCATGTTTAGTGAGCATCCTACCTTGTCATGGCTCGCAGTATATAGTAGGTGAATAGAAGCCCGTTCAAGTTTTGATGATGTGGCGTTTTCTATATTCGAGGCCGTCAGTGCAAACATGACCTAACCTAAATTTTTGAATATTTTATGTTTTTTGATACACTTCGATGAGTACTTGTAAATGCACATTCCAAATTACTTTACATTACTAAATAGATTCAATATTTCCATAATAACCATTGATCCTGTGAGAGCAGACGAAGATAATTTTATATCCTATTTACCGTTGTTCGATGTATCGATAATTGCATAATCGTATTATAATCGTGTCGGTATTTCTTTAAACAACATTATATAATTTTAGTGTAGAATTTAACAAAAAAAAACATTTCTGATTTTTTATAATAAATAATAATTTTAAAATACTGTGATATTAACATTTTATCAATGACATTCAAGCAATGACAATTTGTTTGTTTATAAAGAAAAAAAATGTTGTTTATCTAAAAATTCTTTATCAGATGAAAGCTTTCAAAGTATAATATCTCAGACTTGAATAATTGTTTTGTAATATTTGCAAGGAAACGTGTGTAATTAATGTGTAGTGATTAATTGATTATATCCAGATGTTGGCAGTTCCTTGGACTGCAAAACTTCAGGCTGTCTTTGGATATTCATATCATATTTTTAGTATATATATAAAATGTGATATATTATTTAAAACTATGCTTAAAAATAATATATTAATTTAAGTTAAGCGCAAGCCGTACCATTTATAGTCTGAATAGAAGCCTGGAGGTTTGCACTCTGTGTATTTTTAACCATTGACTTATAAATGTATGTAAATATGTACTGTTAGTTAGGTATAGATGAATTTGGACTATTTTATATTAAATATAATTAAATGAATTATGTAACGCATATTGGTTTTTATTTAAAACTTCTATTAAATAGAACAGAAAATAAACTATAGTAATAATCAAGTAACAAAAATCTATTTACATTAGGTATATTTTGAATATTTTTGGAATATACATAAATGTAATAAATTAATTTATAATAAGAAACTAGTCAAGAAATCCTTAATTCAGAACCAATAGGTCATTTTTAGACTCCCATCTGTGTCGCGTTGGGTTTCTAATATACTAGCTTGGCGAACCAATTTTCGCATAGAGTTCCGACGTATAGGTTGCATATCTGGCAGTATGTCTTCAACCGATGGCGCTTGCGTCAATTCAAGTTGATCCAAATTTTCATAGGAATCGGCCTCCGAAATCATTGTCCTAAAAAAATTCGTATTAACAATGCTTGGGTATTATGTTACGCCTATTTGAAGGGCTTCCGGTAATCTGTCGGATTATGTAAGTATAAACATTCCGATTAAAATATAGGTCACTAGCATTGCCCGCGGCTCCGCCCGCTTTCAGATGACCAAAAACCAAATTCTTAGGTTTTACATATTAGTAGGTATATATACTTTTACATTATGTTTTTGCATTTTTTCTCAGAAATGAGATATTTTTCCGCGGTAAAAAGTATCCTATATGTTGACCCGGATAATCAGCTATGACCATACCAAATTTTATCAAAATCCGTCCAGTAGTGTTTCTGTGATGCGGTAACAGACAAACAGAGAAAAATTCTAAAAACTATAGATTCGGCCTCCGTATCGATAATAAATTTTATTTACAATAAGTTTTTCCAAAAAATATTTAATGTACAGATTCGGCTTAGTTACAATTTTATTATATGTATAGATTTGTAGTAAATTTGTATTGTCTCGGAGCTTCATGTACCTACCACAACAAAGTATGCAGTGAGATTATTAATTAAACCATTAACTTTTAGGCGTAGTTTCAAAGTCTTCTCACAATAATTATCGCAAAAACAAATGTGAAAAGAGCTTCAAGTTCTGTATAAATGATTCTCTTTTCGTAGTAATTCCTAAAATTACTACTATAGCAATGTATATAATTCTTAGATAAAACTAGCGACACCCTCGGTCGGGTGCGTCCGTAGGTACGTTTTAATTTTTTTGAGCGGAACCCCTGATTCTTTTTCTAAAATAAAAGTTATTACGCTACACCTTAGTTACCTAAGATACTCCTTACAACATCAACTATCTGCCAGTGAAAGTCTCGTTAAATTAAGTCCAGCTGTTTCGGAGATTAGTCGGAATATACAGACAGAATTTCATATGCGTATTGTAAAAGGCTGTTATTTGGACATTACAAATAGACACTTAAATTTTATTTATCTGTACTCGTATAGGTTAAAAGAAATCATGACAATGGAAGATATCACGCCCTCGTGGCTAGTTTTTAGTACACTAAGAAAGTGAGGGATAGCTTCGGATTTAAAAGAAAACTGATTTAAAATTTGAATTAGTGGAAAATATAAAAAGATTACCTTAAAATTGAACAATTAGAGACAAGAAGACTACTCTCTACTTAACATTACATCACTCGTAATACGATTTACTCGTTTTCGATACTAGATAAATATTCTATTCAAAATGTTCACTTAATTAAGTGTATTACATTAAACAAAAGATATTCATAAAACTTTAAGAGTCGAATCTCCATCTAAACTTTTACACTTTTTGAAAGAAGGTGTGTATTGTAGAGTTTGACATTTTAATGTAGAGTTACAACATGGTATAGAATACATATAAGTATATTACCTCGGGCCACCACAAGCGAAACAGTCTTTATACGTCCAATCCTTGCCGAACTCTTCCCCTTCTTCGGCTGTTTGTGGTAGGGGGCAATGTAGCGTTTCTGGTAAACGAAGAGCTGTGACACCACCAAGAACCGACACTGCCCCCATAAGTACCAATGGCAGCACGAGATTACTGGTACCCTATAAAGTATATAATATTTATCTATACATATAGTTATGTGTTACTGACACTTAACACTTTTAGAGAAGGGTTATTAAAAGCTTCTTCTGAACAACGCAGAACGGAAACTCAAGTTTTTTAATTCATTTGATTATAATGGAAATGAAGAGAGTTTAGTTTTTGTGAAGAGAGAGTAATAAGAAAGTCTCATTTAAAGCAATAGGTATATCCGTATGTGCATGCATGGACTAAATTCTTTTAAATTGGATCCAGTTATGCAAAAAACAGCCATGTGCGTAAAAGTACCAACAGAGTTATAAGCATTTTTCTGTCGATAGTTGCACTTGGGTGATGTTTTGTTTTTCTGGTTATTTTAAAATTGAACAATATTTATATAAGTACTGTTTATTTTTTTAATTGTTTTATTTTTTATATTAAAATACACATAGAAACCAATAAATATTTATTGGTTTCTATATGGCTTTTGTCGCTTTTGATGGGATCCTATTGGAGTTTTTAAATAGGGTACCTACGGCAAAAATAATGAGTTACGAATTTCAGCGTTTCTAAAATTCAAACCCTAAGAGGATTAAATAGGGGATGAAAATTTTTATGAAACCAACTTTTTAGAGTTTTGATTAATAATATGGTAGGGGTACATACTCGAGCCTAATCCTAATTTAGCTAAGAAGTTATGATTGTAGTAGGAAAAGTTGTTACCAAATAATTAATAAATGGTATAATAATTAATCCAAGTCCACCGATGTACGCCGAAGTTCCAATACCTATTCCTCGAAGTTCCGTTGGATATAATTCACCCGCGTAAGGGTAAATTATCAAAAATGATGCCGATATAAAACATTTGGATATCAGATATAAAATTAACGTTTCTGTTTCTGCGTCTGTAAAAAAAATAGTTATCGTATGTAATTATTTGGGTTAAGTAATTTATTTTTAAAGCTAGATATCTAATTTTTCAAACAAGTTTTTAAATTCGTCAAAGATTAAAACCTTCATAGGCAGGTAACCTGTATTTAAGCTTTAACCTATATTTGAAAATCATTATGGTCATTGTCAACCTGATTACCCCTTGCTAATATGGTGAAGCTAAACATTTTGATGAAAAATGCGTGTTTGAGAAAAATTAAATAGTTTTCAAAAGACATGTGAATTACGCCAACCTGCACTTGGCCAACGTTGTGGAATATAGCTTCGTTTTACTTGGGATTGGGAGGAAGACCGTGCCTAAGAGTTAGGGGTTAAAGATGGCTGGTTATCATTATATATCTATATATATAAAAGAAAGTCGTGTTAGTTACTTCGCTTATAACTCAAGAACGGCTGAACCGATTTAGCTGAAAATTGGCAGGGAGGTAGTTTAGAGCCAGGAGAAGGACATAGGATACTTTTTATCCCGTTCGACCGCGTTCCAATTTTTATGATATTTTAATTTTTGGATTTCTCTTAGTCCGGAATAGGTAAGTATTAAAACATATAATTAAAATGTGAGAAAGAAAGATTTTTTTTTTTTATATCTATTTAAAACGTACCTAGCGACGAACCCGAGCGAAGCGAGGGTGAGCCGCTAGTTTATTATATATATTTATACAACGATCCATTTCTATTCAAATAAAGTTTGTGAATGAGTGTGTTTGTTACGTATCTACTTCATAATACAGTATCTGCTCACACTTTATATCTTGGATTAACACGTAAGCTATTTTTATCGAATGATTTACGCATGACGTTAGAACTAGTTTAGTAGTTTTCTAATATATCTAAATTTAGGCGAACTCTGACGAGAACCAAAAAAAATTTAACTGGCGCTGTGAAAATTTATCCATACTAATATATAAATTCGAAAGTAACTCTGTCTGTCTGTCTGTCTGTGACCCTGGGAAGGACATAGGATAATTTTTACCAAATGTAGAAAATGGGGATGAAAGTTTGTATGGGGAATCAAGCATTCATATTAGATACATTGATACCGTACTTTAAGGACTTCCATGTATTATAATGAATGCATGTAGGTACTAATATGAATATTACCTGCTGGCAAAAGGACAGTGACGATGCAAAAGATCCCACTTATAACCATCGACAAACACAGTGGCCAACGGCGTCCAACTCGGTCCATTAAAAACCAACATACAATGTAGCTGGGGATTTCTACGGCTGATGACAGGAAAAAGCTCATGTACTGATTACTCCCGATGGCTGGTCCATAGTAACTTAAGCCTACATACACCATCTCTGACGCACACCAGTTTAATGTAATTAAGAATGTTTTGAGCCTCATGTTTGGAGTTCTGCACAAAGCAAAGACACTAACAGACTTCGTCTCTTTTACTCCCTGTTCCTTTTGTCTCAAAACTTGTTTTTGGAGTTTTCTTGTATATTCTTCTGGGAGTTCCTTGCCATTAATCCTAGCAATATTTTTTAAAATATTATTGGCCTCCTCCAATCTTTCTCTCATTAACAACCATCTTGGCGATTCTGGCAATACAAACCAATAAAGATAGTAAAAGAAGAAAGGTACTGATGTGGCTAATGCAAGCGATCTCCAATCTCGCAACATGTATGTTACAATTGATAGTAAAATTAGGCCCAGAGTGTAAAATATGCAGGTCATGACCGTCACAAAGGACCTGTAATTTGGTCCCGCTAACTCTAATGCTAAAATGTTGACAATTTGTTATTAATAAATTTACGAAAATGTAAAAAATAAATAAATATATATTAGACTTCTTTTTTCTAAATACTTACAAATGATAAAAGGTATTTGGTACACAGCCGGAATAGTCAAACCAACAATAACCCTTGCCAAAACCCAAAACCAGTATTCATGTGCGTAAGCGGTCATCATACTACCAAGTAGTAACGTCGATAAACAAGCGAAAAATGATTTTTTACGTCCTATACGATCATTTAAAAGTCCAAAAGAGTATACACCTATTGGTCCTCCAACGTTTAAAGCTACTAAGCCAAGTGTGGGATATACATCATATTCGCAAACTAAATCGAACTGCAAAGTAAAATATTATATGAAGCGTTTTAAGACGAATGTAAATAGGAAAAAATAATATTATATTAATATAAATTTAATCTTACATCAATCACAACAGAAGAAATAACTTCTGTTCTATCGTATTCATAGCCATCGAAACATGGTTCTACAGGCCAACTTTCGTTCACTTCAATTGGTTTGTCTGCATTTAACAGCGCCGTCCAGTTAACGGAATATCGCAAACATTTTTCAAAAGTTGTATTCTGATCTGGCTATAAAATTAGTTCAATTAATTTTAATGTTATGTAAATTATATTTATGGGTATGTTTGTAATATATATACCTTACGTGGAATAGATAACATTTTACGATTTATTTGTGACATATTTTGTAGTTCAGGAACCCGACACCAGTGATCAGGGGTATCAGTCATGAAGAGTTGATTGAATGCACAGAAACCGCACGGCAAGCAAGCAGGCAGGCATACAAACCACAATAAACATTTTTGGTATATTCCAAATTCACCGATTTTTAGTAGTACGTCATCCAAATCGATAGCGTCATCATTTGTCTCTTTTACCTTCAATAATAGCATAATTATAAATTAAAAATTTAAAAACCCCCTACGCAAATAATTGTCATTTAACGATTATACTGGCACATGTGAAGCACTTAATCGAGTAATCATACGCTAAAATGCCTTACATCATTTTGGAAAAGAGCTGATACTCTTACACTGCTGGACCAATATTAACCAAACATAGCTAAGAACCACCGCAAGGAAACTGGCTTTCAAATGAAAAAAAATGCATCGAAATCGGTCCATCCATTTGAGAGCGATGCCACAGACAGACACATACACACAGACAGACATCGACGTCAAACTTTCTTTTTGCGTCGGGGGTTAAAAAAGGCAAATGATAATGGTTATTAGATCTTGTTTTACTAGATAAGGACATCATATTTTACAAACACTAACGCTGTAGTTTTTGCACAAACACGAAAACGAACATTTTATATTACCGGTGATTTATCCTGAGCACTGTATTTTCGAGAATGATTGGAATTGTTGGGCATTATTGATTGTTTATTTACTGGATTTACTATTAATATACGAACCACGAAAGACGTCTACACGCGTCCAGTAGTTATTAAACTACCTTGGTATTGTGCGAAGCCTTATAGTATTAATCTAATTGATTAAAGAAAAGTATTCTGCAAATGTATATAAAACATACCAAATGTAACCAAGCAAAATACTTAGGTATATGTATTAATTAAAACAGTATTTCAAATAGTTTATTATAATGTAATAACGATTACTTTAAGATTTTATTATTAGGGAAGGTATTATATCACTTCGTCCTGTTCCATTCCCAATTCAGCATACTACACTAATTAATGTTTTCTAGTACATATTTATTTAAATAATTATATTTATAAAAATAAGAAGAAGAAGAAAGGTCAATCTTCTTCGCCTGTCTTCTTTTCTTCTCACCTCGCCTCTCCTCTCATCTCCTCTTCTCCCCTTTTTCTTTTTTTTTCCTGCATTTTACTACATATCTTTCATTATTACTATAATTAGGATATCTTAAAAGATATCTTAAATGTTGACCCGTGTTATCACTACAAAAAATTTAGATAAAATCGGTTCAGTACTTTTTTCGTGAAACTCGCACACCCAAACAGACATACAGACAAAATTTTGAATAACTATTGTTTCGGGGTATATATTCTGTACAATACATTACAGTCATTGTTTTTAAAAAATATTTCACGTACAAATTTCGTTAAGTTACTGTGTTATTATATGTATAGATATTGGAATTAGTTATTAGTTTAAATACATATTTATTTATTCACAAAAAATCACTTCCTTCAAAAACAAAATCATGCTCCAAAACATTTATTCACCGTCACAACCGCGCTCACGCGCTGTCCTCACGTTAACACAGGGTCACAAAGGTACAACTTCTGAATAACCCATCAGTGATATGCGCCTTCAATATTTTTTTAAATTTAGCCCAAAGTCATATCTCTAGGGATTTTTTTAATTTTTCCGATATCTTAATTCGTTTTTGAGGTATAATTTTTTTTCTGACCGAAACCGAGCGAAAAGTGACCGCGTTTTTCACATTTTTTCGATTTTAAAAAATCTTTTGAGTTTTTTCAATTTTTTTTTTGCATTTTGTAGCCCTCATTCAGACGCGTCTTTTGACATCCCGATCAGCTACGCAGGGCCGGATCCAGCTGTCCTGGGCAAAATAATACTCGCCGATCTTTACACTGTCACTTTTTAAATTAAACTATCTTTTCAGATTGATTTTGATTTTTGGTTCCTGACATTGAATTGCCAATCCAAATAATCTAATCTATAACACGGTGGATCGCAGATAATTTTTTATTATTTTTTATTTAAAAAAAGCTTCTTTCACCACTTGCAACTATTCTAGTACAGTTAAAAGAATCCTGAGCGCAATACTGATATTTGGACCAAATCTTTTTTTTTTTTATTTATTTGGTAATCAAACAGCGTTACAGTATTACTTAAGATTGCACATTGTACACAAAGGAGAGTTACAATAAGGCCAAAATTAGATTACACTAAAAATACTATAATAATGAACAACAGGCATCAAAATGGTAAAATAAAATATAGATATTCAAAAGATGTTTTAGATCTAAAGATAATATCTATTATGTTGGTGCAAAGGTGTGTGTGTGTGTGTGTGTGTGTGTGTGTGTGCGTGCGTGCGTGCGTGCGTGCGTGCGTGCGTGCGTGCGTGCGTGCGTGCGTGCGTGCGTGCGTGCGTGCGTGCGTGCGTGCGTGCGTGCGTGCGTGCGTGCGTGCGTGCGTGCGTGCGTGCGTGCGTGCGTGCGTGCGTGCGTGCGTGCGTGCGTGCGTGCGTGCGTGCGTGCGTGCGTGCGTGCGTGCGTGCGTGCGTGCGTGCGTGCGTGTGTGTGTGTGTATTGTGTGAAGTTGTGTGTGTATGCTCAAATAATAAATTCTATTATTATTACTTAAAATAAACAAATCAATGACTGCTCACGTATTATGACTTAATGGCTATACTTCTTTTTTTTATCTCTTTTTTAAAGACTACTTCAGATAACTTAAATATATCCAAATCAGAGTATTGTTCATTATAAATTTTAACTGATCGCGTTAAGATGGCATGTGCAATCATCATTGGATACGTTAACACGTAAACTATACGAGCTACTTTAATAAATAATAAACTATGTAAAAGTTACTTATCGGGAGTGAATCTTTGTAATTTATAATAATTAGTGTTAAAGTTAATTAATTACATAAAAAACAACGTGCAAACATTAAGTTTTTTACCAAAAATTGAAGTTTTTAATGTTAATACAGTAAAGCTAAAGTCTTGTGAGCAGTGTTTGAGGTGAACGCGTAAGCGACGCGTTTTTCACGGCGCTTACGACCTTTTGGTCGCGACGTGTACGACGACGTTAGAAGCCGAGCTGGTATTGAGTAAATTTAATTGTAACTCTACCGACATTGAAGTAATTTAAGTAAATTTGGAATGTAAAATATGTTCCGATATATTAAAATGCGAGGAGACAATGAAATGTGCGACTTGTTTAGGTTGTTTTCATTATTCTTGCGCTGGTTTAAAGGATAATGATTTTAAAAAAATACTTCCCATGAATAAAGCTAGATGGAAGTGTTCAACCTGTAAACTTTTAAAGAAAGGCATTAGTAATACTAGCCCTAGATTAACTGCTGTATCTTCTGATAGCGTCTGCGCGAGTACTACCCAACTTCAATCACAATCAGCTCATGATAACAGTATAAAATCAATGATTGCTCATTTTGATGATCGCTTCAACAGTCTGCATTCTGCAATGGAATCATTTAAAGGTTTTATTACTGAAGAATTTCGTAAGCTCTCTGAAACTGTCAGTTCGTGGTCTACAAAAATTTCATTCATTGAGACCTCTATTAACTCCGTTGTAGATCGAATAAATGACATGGACAGAGAAATATCTAAAATAGATAACTACCGGACTGAACTTGAACAGTTGACTCTAAAGTTTAAAGAACTATCTGAAAATACTATAAGAAATGACCAGTGGGTTCGTCGATCTAATAACCAAATAAACGGGGTACCCCATAAAAAAGGCGAAAATTTATTACAAATCGTTAAAAATTTGGCGTCTAAAAGTGGGTTTTCAATTAATCTGGACACGGACATAGACTTTGTTACCAGGGTAGCTGTAAAAAACGACACTGCCGACAGTAAACCGCGCCCAATTATCCTAAAAATGCAAGCGCGTTACAAAAAAGACGATTTTCTCGCATCAGTGCGTAAGTTAAAAGGATTACGGGCGTGCGATATTGGTTTCACTGGTGTTATGAATCCAATATATGCTAATGACCATCTATCCACCTATAATAAAGCTCTGCTAAATGAAGCTAAACGTAGATGTAAGGAGAAGAGCTACTTGTACTGCTGGGTCCGTAATTGTACAGTTATGGTTCGTAAAAATGATAGCTCTCCAGTCATACATATCACTTCAAACGAATGTTTAAAAAAAATTTCATAAGAACTACAACTACAGTGGGTTTTGTTATACTAATAACTATATTTGTGTGTGTGATTTTTAGTTGGTTTTTAATTTTTAGATTTCTTTTTCACTATGCATTAAATGTATTAACCTCTTTTTATACCTGTTACCTCGTGAATGTATTTAGGCGTTTTTATGTGGGCAACCTTAATTATTATCGGAGTTTCTGTAGGGTACCTTGGTCTCTTTATTTTCTTATCGACCATACGATTGATATGTTGCAGCTAATTTCTATTTTGTTTTTATTAATACACACAATTACTATTTTTATTAAGTTTTGTTTTCTCTTAATATGAATTTAACTATATATTATCAAAACGTTAGGGGTCTACGTACTAAAACAAAACAATTTTACTTTAATTTACTGAATAAAAGTTATGATGTAATTTGTTTGACTGAGTCCTGGTTGCTGGACGGAATTTTTGACGAAGAACTCTTTGACCCGCGCTATAGCATATACCGTAACGACCGTGATTATGCTCGTCTAGGAGTAAAGAGGGGCGGTGGCACTCTAATTGCCGTGCGGCATGGTTGTGCGAGTATAGATGTACGAAGCCTTAGCACGCTCCCTTGTTTACCTGATGCTGACATAACATACGTAGATTTGATTGTAGGACAGGACTCAACTAAAAACAAGTTACACCTGTTTTGTTGTTACTTTCCTCAGAGCATACATCAATGCGACTCTGAAGCAAGTTTTTTTGAATTTTTGTCAGATTTATTAATTAACAGACCTAATGACAATTTTATTATACTGGGTGATTTTAACATCAGGGAGGCAGTATGGTCGGTTCAATCCGATGGAAATTTAACAATTCAAATACTTCTGGTAGCAGTTTAATATTACAATTATTTGCATTTATGACATTTACTGGATTAAATCAATATAATAATATCTTGAACTTTAATAATAGATTACTTGATTTGGTTTTATCTAATATTGCCTGTTTAGTAGAGAGAACAACTCCTTTATCGTTGCCAGAGGATGCTCACCATCCAACCCTGACCGTAAGCTTTGAAGGAGGTACTTCTGGCAGCAATCTCAGAGAACCATCTCGCATTGTTCGTCGCTTCCATGACGCTAATTATGATACTATTAATACTGAATTGAGTAGAATTGACTGGACGAAACAACTTTCATCAGATAATATTACAGATGCTGTTGATAAATTTTATCTCATAGTGAATGAAGTTATTGAAAGACTTGTACCGAGTAAAGTAGTTTATCATCACGGTAGATTTCCGACTTGGTTTTCGAAACACTTAATTAGATTGATTAATAAAAAATTAAAAATACATAAAAAATGGAAAATTTATGGACGACCTAGCGATTATGACCGCTTCTCAGAACTTCGTCGTGAAACTAAGGATCTAGAATTAGAATGTTATAATTTTTTCATAGAAATGGCAGAAACAAATATTCGCTATAATTCAAAACACTTTTGGTCCTATGTAAAATCAAAGCGATTTAGTAACTGTATCCC